CGACTCATTAAGTTAAATTAAGTTATAAAAAATTAAGTTATGAAACTCAAAGTTCTGTCGGAGGAGGCTCGAGATAAGAAGTCTGAGTGGTTTCTAGTCCAGCGGGCTTTGGAAGATGAGTCTGATGCAGCCGGACTCTGCGCTCAGCGGCCGGATGCAGAACGGGCAGGCGGCGTGGAAGGTGTGCGTGCCGTGCGGCAGCGGGATCTGACTCCAGTACGCTGTCGTCTTCTCCGAGCAGACGTGGCCGCAGGGGACGAAGGCGTGGGTGGGGGGCTCCGCGTCCACGTAGAAACCCGGCTCGCAGCCCAGCCACAGCGGCACGTAGGGCCCCCGCGCCCGGCACATGGGGCACTCTCTCTCCTGACACTCCGCGTCCACCTCGGGGTTGCGGCGCCCGCCCCAGCCGTGGTAGCCGTGCACGTGGCCGCAGCGCAGGTAGGCCCAGGGCTGCTTCTCGTCCGGGACGTCTTTGCGGCGAAGGCTGGGGAAGGCCAGCGTGTTGAAGCCCACGGGACACTGCGGCCGCCCGGCGTTCAGCTCCTGCCGCAGGGCCTCCAGGTGTTTGACGGTGGGCGTGTGCGCCAGGCCCTCCGCCGTCCGCCACAGCAGGGTGGCGCCGCACAGGTCGATGAGCGAGCCGTCCGCCAGCTCGTTGCACTCAGAGACAGAATCCATCTGGAGGAGAGATGGGCAGAAGGTTGAGCCGAAGACAGGCAGGGACCCCACTCTTTTTAACAAATCATTTTCCAGGACCTTTCCAGGACCTTTTCCAGGACCTTTTACCGATAGTACGGACACATTTAACTCTTGTATTCTTGTCGATTGATGAGGTTGCATCTGATCCAACCAACAAAATACACACCCAGGTTTACATCAGCGATCAGAGTACATTTCCAGGACAACACAGATGATTTCCAGGATATTCTGACATTTTAACCAAGGTTTCCAGGTGTTTCTATGACTGGAAAACTAGTCTCTAAATTTCCAGGATGTATGGGAACAATACTCCCAATGGCGGGAACCCTGCTATGATGTCATTTCCTGTCTTGCTGGTGTTCCAGAGAGATAAAAAACATGTTCCTGTGGTTTACTGTCCATATTCTGTCATTTTTAAACATTTCTGGGGGCTTTTATTGTCTTAAATTAATAGTGACAGCCGGAGAGTGACAGGAAGTGGCGGGGGGGGGGGCTCAGATGTTCTACCAGGGCGCCACCATATTCTATAACTAATGCAACTTAAATGACCTTCTGTCTACCACAGACCTCGATTACAGAGGTTGAACCCTTCCTGATGTTAACAAACTTAAAAAGGTACCCAGTGGAGTTTTCACTAGTCGCACTATAGAGCGATATGAAGTTTTGTTTACATCCTGCTCGTACACGATGATAAACACGCTCATGGAAGACGAGTAACATATTCCTGCCTCTTCGTGCTGTTCTGCTGATCGACAGTCGGTGGCAGTAACGTGCAAAGAAAACGTGGCAATGCAGCAACGGTGCTGAGGAAGTAAACATGAATGTGAGACCTGAAGGATTCACAGAGAAACTGAATGTAAATGTTCATTTTGAGGCTTTTAAACGATGATTTTATCTCCTCGGATTCAATAAGACTACAGCTCCCCTAAAGGCCACGCAGGGTCACCCACCATCTTTCCTCTCTGCTGAGATGATCTGGTTTCCCTCAGCGTGAAGACGTTGCCGCACACTGAGATTTCCCTCCACAGTCCCGGTTTAGAGTCCTGGCTGAAGCCATGGCGCGGGTGCATCACCAGAACGCCGTTGGTGGTCAGTCCGTCCATCTGACCGTCCTGCATCCTCCACTTGGCCGCCTTCTCCTGTGAAAGAGGTTCAACAATTCATGTTTCAGCTGGAAAACAATTCTGATGACGCAGAACACAAGTAGTGAGTCGCCGTATCGCCACCAGTCGGCGCCGCCTACCCCGAGGAAGATGTTCTTGGAGGAGTCGAAGCCGGCGGCGTAGATGCGTGCCGAGTAAGGCGGGTGTCTTTGGCAGATGATGCGGCAGGCGAAGCGGGAGATGGTGCTCTGAACCGTCTGACCGTCAGCGTGGCTCTGACCGCCGGGCACCGTGTCTGTCACCACGAAGTCGATGGGATTCTCCGTAGAGCGACCGATCTGTAATGATACACACGGAAAATCTGAGTTTCTCTTTTTGTTGAGGAAATTCTACCAAACCCACATTGTGCAACCAAATACATGGTGGTCAGCAATTTCTCTGAGCTGAGAAGAAACATGGACATTTTAATTAGTTCAAGGGACGAGAAAAATACATGATACAGTTAAACATTAGGGACAAGAAGAAGCAGATTAAGTCTGTAAGAAAGTTAAAAATGATTAAAAATTCATAATACAGACAGAGAATTGTATAAAAAGTTCCCTAAACAGGAAAAATTCATCCAAATCTCTGGTTTTACACAAACCTCCTGCAGTTACTGAGTTCACTGTTTGGGTTCATTGTTCAGTTTAATATGAAATATCCACTGAGGCAGTTTACTGAAGGAGAGAAGATGAGTCCCTGAAGGATAAAGATATGGGAACCAGTGAGTTGGTGGATGCTACAGACCTGGAACATGTCTGTGTTGCTGTCGTGGGTGTACTCCACCACCACTGTCTGCGCCCGGGACAGCGTGTATGAAATACTGTGCTGCTCCTTGTTGCTTATCGCCTTTAGAAACACAGAAGAGATTCACTGTTACATTGTGTTTAAGGTTTAAAGCCACATTACGTAACTTTTCTACCTTAAAATAACAGCTTAAGAACCGTTTTAATGCCACCCTGAGTTGTGTTAATGTGAACGGTTCCTCTGTACTGTTGTTGTTGGTCTCCGGGTCGGGATGAGCGTGTAGAGCTTTATGACACTAATTCACAGACAGTAACTGCTGCTAAATGTCGTTAGTTAGTTAGTTTAGCCGTGCTGCCCTGGTACTGGGTGCTCAGAGCACCGGGGGAGTGTTGGTTTACACCGGTAGCACAGGAGCGCCGGGAGGAGGATGTTTTCAGGCCTGGGACAAAGAGCGGCAGCGGTGTCGTGCCAGAACCGGAGCCGGGCGAGCGGGAAATGTAACCGGACTCAACGGCTTCTACGGACAAATCGCACAAGATCTAACGTAATGTTAATGAACAACTGTTGTTCTTTGACTTTGTTTTATTAATCAGGGTTCAGGGCGACGGGTCTGACCACAGCACAGAGTCCGATTCATTTTCATTAGACACCAAACGGTAGGAATTAGGAACATTTCCAGCTGTTTCCACGACTGTTTCAGGAAGCGTGTGAATATGACGCAGTAAGTTGTTGATTCTAGGACATTAATCTTCTTTATGTAAATATTCTGGTGATATTACAGAAACAGAACTGATGTACACAGAATAAGTTGTTTCTAAGCCTCATTCTTCAGGTTTCGCTTCTGTCCCAACCAGAACCCTTTTACCTGCGTTGAGCTCTCACCTTGGCAGCCTGAGGCGTGCAGGAGGAGTGGACGGTGCTGGGTTTCACACCGTTGGCCTTGTTCCTGCGACACAGAGCGAAGCGACTTTTCCGCCTCCCCTTGTCGCCGTTGGGCAGCGATCCGTTACACCTGAACACACAACAGGGAGGAAACACACAGCAGGTTATCAGGGCACCTAAAGAGGGAAGTTACACTGAACAGGAACAGACTCTACAGGACACCGTAGGACCGGGAATAAAGCTGCCTCATCGTTAATTAATATTATGTTATATGTTATATACTATATACACACACAACAGGTTAAATTAAAGACCATTATTTATTCAATTTAAGACCTCTTTTACTTCCTTATATGAAGGATTGATGTTGGTTCCATGTCGGTTTTGTTTTGTAGATGTTAGAGCGTGATCAATACAAATATCGACCATAAATAAAATAGAGACTGAAAAATGAGACTTCATACAAACACCGTTCATTAATCCAATCAAGTCATATTTAAAACATTTTAATGTAAAACCAGGATTTGTTGGAGCTCATTTTGAACTATTTTGTATCTGCGACTAATAATTATTTCCATTTTTCTCCATTAATCCATTTATTGATTGTTTTATACAAATTCTGAAAATAGTGAGAAATCCCGATCACCCAGTCCAAACCTCGACGTTATCACAGATACTTTCAGTAAAAGCATCAATTCAGACAGCTAGCGTCGTCGTTGGTGTTTCATTTATAAGAAAACATCTTATTTTATAAACTCCTCACATGTTTTGTGTGCACAGATATTATTTTGTAAAGTATCTAAAGCTGTCAGATAAATGGATTTCACATCCAACTTGAGGCTGACTTGTGATTTTACAGAACAAGGACCCTGCGTCCCACCTCTGGTAGATAGTGTTTTATTGTCTGGGAGCAGAATGAGTGCGTTAATGTGCGGAGAAACCTCGGCCACAGTGAAGAATGCAGCTGACTTCCTGACTGGAGGCCTTTCACTGCGGACACAGAGAGAGCCTGTGGGGTTCGGGGAGGTTGGCTGCTGTGGTTTCAGACCTTTTGTTTGCTTTTGTATCCAGAACTGAAATAGAGCTGTCTGGGACCCTGACTGTCACAGTGTTTTAATCACTCCAGTAGAAACCAGTGGTGTACGAGTTTATATCACATCCAATTAGTACTTTTACTTAAATTAAGGATCTGAATACGTCTTCCAGCACTCAGTAAGTAAAGACGAGTCATTATTTGACCTTCAGAAAATGTGATGTGTCATGACTCAAACAGCACAACAGTTGTGCCCACATCTTTACAGACACCTGCTGCATCAACATCCTGGATCCAGGGCGGGCGACAGAGCGAGACAGGACGAGAGGAGGCGGAGTCTGTGTTTACATCGATGATGATCGGTGCTCAAACGCAGTCGACCTGGATGGACACTGTTTCTGTTTATGTGAAGATGAATCGTCACCATCTTTCTCTTTTTTTATTAAATTAAAAAGATGCACTACAGAATTATTTCCTGGGCGTATACGTCTGTAACTAACTGTATATATCGGTTTATTTTATTTAAAGTGTAACTCGATTCTGCTAGCTCGCCACAACAGGAGGAATACAGCTGCTGGTAGTCAGAGCTAACAGAGCTAACCAGCCACTGTGTGCATTGTAGCGGCTAATTTCCCAAACTTCTAACTTTCCCTGGAGACAGGAAGCTTTCTGAGGGAGAGAAAGCTGAAGGTTTCAGTCCAGACTCAGAGGCAGGACGCTGTGGTAATGTAGTTCACTAATGTAGTTCTAAACGGAAATCGAACTACATCTATTTACAAAACATGATTTATTTGCAGAACATTATTCTAAACAGTAAACATCTGTGGGAGCTGTAATTAAAAGTTTAGCTGGAAGTTATCTTCAGAGCCAGACTGCTGCCAGCCGCAGGTCAAGTAAACACTGGAGTTCAGTTAAAAGTGGAGCCATTCTTTTGCTGGATAACTCAAACTTCCTGCGTTTCAGATAGAGTCCACCTCCTCTCTTACACAAACCCAGACCACCCCAACTGTGGCTCCACTGTACGACACAAACTATATGGCTCTTTAAAATTAAACCTTATGAGCAGTGTAATCGCCGGTCACAGGGTCTGCCAGACTGTTTAATTCCACATGTGGACAATATAACACGAAAGCAAAACAAAAGGTCTGAAACCACAGCGGCCGCAGCTTTCCTGACGCCTCTCGACCTCCCCGAACCCCACAGGCTCTCTCTGTGTCCGCACTGAAAGGCCTTCAGTCAGGAAGTCAGCTGCATTCTTCACTGTGGTGGAGTTTCTCCACACATGTAACAGCACCGAGACGAAAGGTTTGCTGCTCCTGAAATTGAATTTCATACTGCAAATAAAAATACTACAAGGCAACATCTAAACAAAGGGATTTGTTTTATTTATGGGGACAAACATTTGTGCATCTTCTGACGTTATCATACGTTAAAAAAAGGCCCCACATACCGTTGGAAATAACCAACTAGTGCTCTGTGAAGCAGCGTGTTGGGACTCGCTCGAGGTCGGCACTCTGCAGCAGTTCTCTTTGTTGCTTTATTTAATATCTGTGCTATCGTGTTATCGTGGTGTAGTGAGACGGATATATCGTACAATAAAGGGAAGGTTTGCAGTCCCTTCATGCTACACACACACACACACACACACACACACACACACACACACACAGAAAAGATAATCAAATTCAGAGATAAACATATAAAATATGACTATATATCCAGTTATTTACCGTAAAACTTCCAATAAAAGCAGGGTCCCTAATAGATGCAGGTCTCTTTTAAAAGCCTGGTGTGGCTACATGTTTTGACAAATAAACGCAGGTCTCCAATAGAGGCCTGGTCTGGATTTTATAGAAATTATCTCGATGTATAAAACCTCTTAAAACCCACCGGGTCACCTACTTGAGTGAGTTTTAAGTCGTTTCAATCTCCTACACAAATATAAATGTTTAAACTTCTGTCAGTATGTACATAATGAACATCGTTAGATCAGTTATAGATTCTCCACAATTCAATCGTTCAATATATTTTACGAAAACGATCAACAACAAAGTTGTTAACGTTAATTCATTCTGAATTACAGGTAACACGGTAAACAAGAGAAACGGAAAAAAACCTCTGAAGCATCATAACAATCATGTTAGTCGTCAAATTTGCTGAACAAAATCTCAACAGAAGCTGCAGTTAGAGTTTAGTTTAGTTTGGTGCTAAAGGAATTAAAGGCCTGACCCAAATAGAGGCCTGACCCAAATAGAGGCCTGTCCCCAATAGAGGCAGGGGGAGTTCAGTGGTTTAAGCAAATAAACGTCCGGGGTATTATTAGATATTTTTGGGGGGGCATTGGTGAGACCTCTGATTTATATATATCATATAGTGTGTCTTTTGGTTTTAGCATGAGGACAACATGCAACACTTTAGCATGCTTTCTGCCAGCTGATTCTCAATTACTGGATGTCGTAGTGTCCCTGAAAGCACCACCAAGATGAGTTTCAACACATCCCCCTTTCTCAGACTGAATTACCACACTCTAAAAACAAAGCAGACCAAGTTGACACTGCGGTGGATTGAAAGCAAGTCTCAGCAAGTTGATTTTAGCACCGATCTGAAACTGTAAAAATCTCAAAAACAGCTTCTTCAGAAAGTGAAGTGCACATATGGGCAGTTTCAGGGCTAAAACAAGCCTTTAGTTTTGACCACAGCGGTAAAACAAAAAGTCCTAAGTGAGCGTCTTACCCCAACACAATGAGCTCTCCATATTTGACCGGTCCTTTGGTGGAAGCAGGGGAAGTGGAGATGTTTTCCTGAGCGAGTGAAAACATCTGTGCAGCCTTCAGGGTGGAGGAGGGAGGGAGGAAGGGTGATGACTTTCCTACTGTCTGTCACCCTCAGAGCGTCTCCATCAGTGCGGGTACACACATCACCTGCAGACACAAAGAAAGAAAGAATTAGTTTTATTTTTCAGCAAACAGAGACACTTGTGTTTCATTTAAACAGTGGATGGTAACAATGTGGCTTCAGACTGGAGAAACAGTCAATGTATGATAGCTTCTGGCAGACAACGCTGACGCAGGCACAAAGTTTGTGCATCGTTGGAAACATTTGGGATAATGTAAGAACTCAACTACATATAGAACAAAGCTCTAGAGTTTATACACTGTTTAATGCAGAATTATTACTCATTATCACTCTTCATACAAACACACACAGGGGACTTCAACACAACAGCCTTCATCACTACAATACACCCACACTGTCTTTATACCGGGCAGCAGCGGCGGCAGACAATGTGTGCATTCACCGCAGCACACTGAGCGGGGTTGTTAGGTGTAAAACAGGGACGTTTGCGTCCGTGACGGGGGGTGACTCACTTCGCAGCACACTGGAACCGATGTTATATCCCTTTGTGCCATGAAAATAACAACAACAACAAGCGGAGCATTCATTCACAACTGTGATGTCAAAAGGGCCGAAGAGGACACAACGTCATCGTAAACCTGCGAGTTACACAACCGGTTGCACTCGTTACACTTCAGTCTGTAGGTCAACGGAGACGCATCACCGTCCGAGCCCTCTCGCAGTCTTCAGAGGGAATGAGGACGGGAATTAATAAGATTTACTGATACAAGTGTCATTGATTCTTTAACAGTTCCCTTATTGGAGGAAGCATCAACTGGTTTATTATCTCTCAGTCCGAACCAGTTATATTAGTTTTTATTCTTATTTCATTCTTATTTTCAAGTCATTTTTTTATTAGATTCATTGTTGTTAATTTTATATAGGCGGTGTTTGTCAGGTTCAAGATTTAAGGTCAGAATACTTATTATAATACAAACACACTGACTCACAGTCATATAAATACTATATGCAATATATTCATGCCTGTTGTGTTGACAAATTTGACCAAAGAAGACATTTCCTTTATATTATTACTTTAAGTTTTGTAAGTACACAAGCTCGTTTCAATCCATCTATTTTATAAAAACCTTGGTCCAAACAGCGTGTAGAAACCGGCTCAGTTAAAGCAGTTTGAGTTTCTTTGTGAAATGAGGCCTCGCTTTGGACCGATCCTTCGTCTCTGCTGCGCCCTTCTTCTTGTTGGAAGTTTGCAGCAGCGTAGATGCACGAGTTTCACACCATTGCAATGCGGAACAGGCATAAAAACATGCTGGCATTGATAAAAGGGATTGATAAGCTTGTTACTTCCTCCAGTTATTAGTTACACTACTAGTTGTATTACTTTTCTGCACATTAAATTGGTTCTTGCATCCTTTCTCCAGAAAATTCAGACCCTAAAATCAGTTTTGTTTGTTCAAATCAAAGTAATGGAAAAAACACAGAGGTTTGTGCCGCGCATAAAAATAATAATTCCTTGCTGCTTGGGCCTTAATGATTTGATATCAGTGACAGAAATCAGGTTCTACATATTTTCCCAGCATTTGGCTCAACGGTGCTAATTTCGTGCCCTGGCTACACACTAAGTTAGCGGTGGAGCTAACACTGATACCAGCTGTAATATTGTGTTCGTCTGAAGTTTGTCAGCTACTAAAAGGAAACCCGTCAACGTACCACAGGATCCTTTATGGGTTCACAAAAAACACTTTTTGAACATTTTATAACCTATTTCGAAGCAATATATTCTTCTACTGTATAACAAATCGTTTCACCATAAAACAAAATGTGAAATCAAACTGTCAGTCGGAGTAAAAGTGGCTTTTAATCACATGTTTAATGTGTTCATGTGATAAATAAAGAGAACCTAGCATCAAGTCTGACTTCCTTGCTGGTTTCCTCTTTTAACCGACACTCCTGATAAAACAACAGGAAACTCAGACAACATCAACAGTTACTCATGTGGAGGGGGCCGAGGGTGTGTGGGTGTTAATGATCGTGTTATTGATAATCAGTATCCTGCGTTACTATCTATAACATCGCTGCTGAAGGTACTGAGGCACGGCTGCTTTAGAGAGTAAACTATCAGTCATATCTGCCTCTTAAAGGTTAAATATATTTATACCGTAATCTGGGTGAATACTCGATTCTGATTGGCTGCTGGGCGTCCATTATTCCTGTTGTATGATGCGTAGTAAGTAGTTCCAGTAAAGCTCTAAATTAATGAGCAAAATCTGAACATTACGTAAATATATCTCACGACTCTTCAGTGTGGGACGGTTCTGGCCTCCACGCTGTCCATTAATTCCTGATAACAGACACCTTGTTAGGTTTTATCCCTTACTAAATCAACTCGCCACTTGTCCCTGGTGCCATTATTCTATTAGACAATTTACATTAAAAGTGAACCAGATGCTGAGATAAAGACCTGTCTTCCTGTCACTGTTCACTCGTCCTATCAAATAAACGTATAAATGCCCCCAAAATATCTTTAACAAAGATTATTATATGACAAAAGACAGAGTGGATGACGCCTCTGCACAGACTGCGATGTAGGATTGACCGGTTACTGACTACCAATACCTCCGTTACATCCATCAACGCTCATGTAAACAGAAGCTTTTGTTTACAGGAAAACTCCGCAGGGCAACTTTAACGAGCCGAGATGATTGATTTTAGACCGTCAGCTAGCAGCGAAACTGATCACAAGACGAGATGCGTCCGCTGTCAATGGACTGCGTTTATGTAGAGCTTTTTAAATCGAAGTTGAAAGATTTGAAAGAGCTGAAAGGGTTTCTCTGATGACTAAAATCCTCTATCCGGTTCAAATCTAGAGTTAAAAAGCACCAAGATCTAAACAGTGGATGGTAACAATGTGGCTTCAGACTGGATCAACAGTCAATGTATGACAGCTTCTGGCAGACAACCACAACACTGACGCAGGCACAAAGGGGATATGACGCCATCGACAGGCGACCGGTGAAACGCAGCGTTACCTGAATAAAATGACAGATTTCTCTGAGTTTGAACTTTGTTGGAAACATTTGGGATAATGTAAGAACTCAACTACATAGAGAACAAAGAGTTTATACACTGTTAATGAGGAAATGTTACTGATAAGAGCTTTAAATCTAACAAACATGTTTTGTTTGGGAAATCAGTTTGGTTCAGAGGGTGAAAGACGTTCATAAACACTCCTGACTCTTCCAGTGGATGTGGATACAGCCTGCAGGGGGACAGAGGCCCATTCACCGCCTGTAACTGGACGCCACGTTTGGACGACGACTTCCAAAGTGACTTCACTCCTCCACCGACCACAACAACCGCTCTTTTGTGCGTCACTTTCCTCTCGTGACGGAAGACGTAAAAGCGTCCCCTCCAGTCTGACATCGAGGTGAATCACACGTCGCTCTGTTCGCGGCCGCGGCTCACAGCCGATCTTGCCCCCCCTCGTGACTCAGATCTCATGGTTTTCTAATCAGCCTGAACAACATAAAGCCGCGTGGCGTCGGAGGATCTTCGCACAACCTAATTCTGACCTACTGTTTGTCGGCATCACCATGGCAACAAGTAAAACCCTGACATCATTCAATGGAGGTTTTTTTATACTCTTAACAAGATGACTCTGCGTCCACTGTATTTCTGATTTTCATTCTCTTTATAGTTTTCTGTCTTTTGTACGTGACAATAAGGTTTGGTTACAATTTCCCCCGGAGTCAGAGTCCTGGTTGGAGCCTCTGTGAATCACCTCGTTGATGTACTTCCTGTCGTCAAACTAGCCGAAATAAAAGCTGTGAATTAAGCTTTTATTTCGCAGTTAGACGTGAAAATATTCAGAGTTTAGAAAAACAAAATGACCAAATAACCTGCGATATATTCAACTTTAACGTGATAGAGATTACTAACTCTTCTAGTGTTCTGGTGTCGTGTTTACGTTAACTGCTTCTCATGGCCGATACCGATAAGATACTGAATAATGAGGAGGAGGGGATTAACTTGTGGCCTAAAATGCCTGATTACACGGCAGCTTTTCAACAACCTGCTGTGTTTTTAGGCGTTTTCTTGCACTGACGGACATAAAGTAAAAATGTGAAGAAGCGCTACAAACAGCGAACCCCCACTTTCCTGCAGAGTCGTCAGCAGACATGTTTTTAGGGCTGCGTCCTAATAGTCGAATTACTCGAGAAGAGTCTTAGTCCACGTACTTTTCATGAGTCGGATAGTCGCAGAAAAACAAAAACAAAGCTGAAATCTGTTCGGGACCTGCACCCAGTCACCGGGACCGAAGTATCAGAGGATTGTTGCAACACGGACCTTTTCTCTTGTAACACAGGAAGCTCTTACTGGGGGTGTTGCTAACTGTATTAACCACTGGAAAGTGGAAAAAAACTATGTAACATACGACAGGCAACCTGCCAAACAGGCGAGGGCTACACCAGCCGGGTGTGTGTTCACATCGGCCCTGAAGAGGAAATACACCCCCCCCCCCACCCACCGCCCACACACACACACACACACACAACCCAGATCACCATGGCAACAGACGGAGATAAAGGCCGTGGCTGTGAAGTGTCAGTGAGCAGCCTGTCAAACACACCAAACGGTCTCTGTGACAGGCGGAGGGTTGTTGGGGGGGGGTCACGCACACAATAAGCATCAGTGAGCTTACAACCGCACTAATAATTCAATTAAGAGCAGATTGAGGCGACGGTGCGGCCCAATTACCGTGTAAACAGTTTAAACTGATTATTTCAGTTGAGTTCAGGAATCAGGACACGTTTAACCGGATTAACAAAAGCTCATCAATCTCTGAACACGTTACCAAAAGATCAATATCATAATAAAATCACTATAATGGAGCTTTAAAAAGTTTCACATTTGTTGTTGTTAAGTTGTAGGACTTAAAAATAGCCAAACAAAAGGCTAAAATAACCTTTTAAACGATAGCTAATGATTATTTTATTATAAGTTAATCTGATGATTATTTAAGTAACTGATTAATGATCAATAAAATGTTAGAAAATAGGGAAAAAGGGTCTTTAAATGTCTTCTTTTGTCAGTCCAGAACCTGAATATATTCAGTTCAATGACATTAAACAGAGAAAAGTATAAAATCGTCGTATTCGAGAGGCTGAAAACAATATTTTCTGCCTATTTTGGCATCAAAAATTACTTTTAACGAATAATTTCTCATCAAAATCTGCTATTTTTCTGTCAATTAACGAATAAAAGATAACAGCATTCAATCAATAAAGAATATAGAAGAAGAGAAGTCGACTCATTTCTCTCCATAAGACTGAATGGTATCAGTGTGTTACTGCAACCAGTGGAGCTGCCCCCTGCTGGTCATTACAGAGAATGCAGGTTTAAAATCTTATTATTAATTATTATTATTATTATTATTATATACTTTTATTGACTACATCTGTGTTCAGAAACCATCACACTACCGGTTCTGGATCAGTACATCAGTCCGATACATCCGATATGTTGATGAGTGTATTGATGTTTCCTGATGTCAGTGGAGGGGGGGGGTTACCACATATTAATATTACAATACTGATCTAAGATAACTGACAGCTTGAACTGGATCTGCTTTAATCCCCCCCCCCCAGACTAAAACTCTCACCCGGTTTTAGGGTCAACATTTGCTGATGTGTCTAGAGGACAGTTGGACAAAAAGAAAAGGCCGACTTTCAACGTCTTTAAACGGGGAACAAAAGCGGCGTCTGCAGGGGACAGATGCTCCGGTAGGACGGACGCATGCTAATCAGTCTGTGTGGCCCCCGAACAAAAGAGGGGCCAGCTGGGCGACACGGAGCCGGACGGCCCGGCCTGGAAACCACAACCGCTCCTGGAGCCTGCTGATTGGGATTATATACAATAGAGCTGCAACGGGTAGTCGACTAGTTGTTAGACTGTTAAATAAATCAGAAATAATAAAGTTTCAGGGGGAAAAAAGAGCAAATTCTCTGATTTCTGCTTTTTGAATGTGATGATTTTTGGTTTCTTTAATCTTCTGTGAGAGTAAACTGGATATTTTCTGGACAAAACAACCAATTAATTAATCAACAAAGATGATAGAGAGAATACTTTATAATATAAATAACTGTTAGTTGCAACCCTAATAAACAATATACATACATTCATGGTAAAAACTGTATGACCTGAACGTGTATGAGTAATATGTTGAATTCAGTCTCACACACACTTGAAGGAAAGTAATATTATAAAGTACAGGAGTATTTTATGACGATATACTACATATATTCACTAAATCAGAGTACCTGCAGTAGTATAATTACTCTAAACAGTTAAATAAAGAATCTAAATTCACTAATATAGAAACACTGCAGGGTATATGAGCATTATAGTGTCACATAAGGAGACAAAGAGCATTAAACAATAAGATTATAACGTTATAATAACATTATAAGTCACTATAGGAATATTAAAATGAAGTTTATTATAATATTATACAAATATAAGAACACCAAACCTGCCAGATAAATCAGGCACATTAGCATTATTAGTTTTTTTAGCCATTTATAACTTTAAATTATGGATGTTTATCCTGTAATAACCGCATTATTATCCGTTAACGTGAATTTCGGTCGGTAAAAGTTCGTGAGTTGACTAATAGCTTGTTTTAAAGTAAATAATAAAGACTTTTTAAAAGACAAACTTACCGAAGTTACCGGTCGCTTTAAAGTGTTGTCATTACCGGATATATTCCGGTTACCGACGGGGTTTTTTAACAGTTTCTGAGCCGGTAAATGTGGTAACTTAACGTCCGGTTACCGGCAGTTTAACGAGCGCCCGTTAAAGTGGACAAAAAGTGAGTGAGGTTTGGTGACGTTTCAGCGCGGATATAAACTCAACCGAACGACCCTTTCACAATAAACTGAGGATTTCAAAATAAAACGAGTATATTTAGTGGTAGTGTTTCAGAAAGTTTTTAAATACTCTTTAACTGTTCTAAACAATTAAGCTGTAGTTTTTATGACATCTTTTAACAGGTATACTATATTTAGTTTTATTATTTTAATTTTATAACATTTTATATTTATTATGACTGAACTATGGAAGCCCATTTAGGCCAATGTGATGAGGAAACAAAATAATAATATAAAAGTTTCTCATTATTCAGTGTGTTTGTATTGTTATATCTATTCTGAACTTTTCCAATCCCCTACAGCAGATCAATAAAGGAACATCTTATCAAAAGAAGATTACGATTTTTTTTTTTTTTTATATTTTTTTTCTTTTTTTTTTTCTTTCCCTTTATTTTAATTTTCTTTAAAAAAATTTTTCTTTTTTAAAAATTTATAAAAAAAAATTAAATGTAACAAAAAAACACACACACACGCGTGTACACACACACACACACACACACACACACACACACACACACACACACACACACACACACACACACAAGAACAACTTTTGGGTTATGAAGGTTTGAGCTGATATTTTTAATTAAACATCCATTAAACGCTCGTCGGTTTCTCACTTTTGAACCATAAATATAATTTTAACACCCCTAAACACAGAATAACATTCATATACACAGTAAAACCTGACAACACGTCTCAATAATAGAAGTCAGTTAACATTAATTAACCCTTCGAACAAACTGGATCACTCATTTCGAGCCCTTATTGATGTTAAAGCGTGCTAGAAAAGTAATAAGTTATACACAGTATCTCAGTATTTGGTTCAGTTATGTGAAGAAATGTAAAGTAAGTTGTCCGATAGAACAACGGTTAAACGTCAGGGACAATAAAACACTGAGATTTGTCAAAAAAGAAGCAGATTAAGTCTATATAACAGTTAAACATTATTAAAAATACATAATACAGACAGAATTGTATAAAAAGTTCCCTAAACAGGAAATAATCCGCTCAGAAATAGGTCCCTGAAGGACAATCTGCACTTTTCTTTGTGTATTATTACTTTTTAAAATCTCAGAAGTCGTCTTTTTGTTTGAGATTATTGATTGAAAAAAGAAACCAGCTGAGAAATGAGTCACAACCTCGGTGAAACACGAGTGTCTCAGACTCGAAGGAGTTAATGGTTCCTTTTTTCTTCATTAACGTTCTTCATCCTGTTTAAAAGGTCAAAGCTTCAATGTTCCTCCTTCTTACTTTTCCACTAACAGTTAATGTTTGTGACATAAATGTAGTGTGTTTTGTTTCCTATTGAAAACTGTAAAGAATTAATTTTTATATTTAAAGCAAGTTTTATAATAAATTACTGTAATTGTGCTGTAATTTACAATATACGGAATATTTACTACATAATAGTATTTTACTGTATTGCATTGTACTGTATTATATTCATTATATTAATATTGATAATTATAATGACATCTAGTTATTAACATTGTAATATTACTATACTAAAATGTATAAAAATGCATTATATACTAAGATATATGTGTGTTATTGTACAGTATGTTATAGTGTTAATAGAGGAAGCAGTGTGAGGCCACCTAGTGTTAAAGCTGGGAAATCACTAGAAAGTAAGAGAAGACAATCATCTGAGTAATAATGCATCAATAAAGCTCTGAAATTAAGTTTATATTATATAAAATAAGTTGAATACAGTTTAAAAAAGGTACATTAGAAACATCATACAGTATATTTAGACCGGTGGTGGTTTGCAATGCGGAGGTCACAAGATGGATTACAGCTCTACTCTTTGCTTTCTTCTTGTATTTTACTGGTTTTACTTTGTCAGGTAGTTTTATTGAAGAAGTCACAATGTGTCACTTTGTTTTTAATATAAAATAAATAAGATTCTCACAAATCTGTGATATAAAACTGAAACTTTTTCTGTTTTCAACCTTTTCGATGTGTTAAAACAGACAAATAAAACACCTTCCTCCAACCCTCCACGCATCCCGAACACTGGGAGACAAGAACTTTAATAAAATAAATAAAACAAAAGTAAATATAAAGTAACAATTGTCCAGAGAAATAACATGACAGCTCGTTATCTCGACCACAACTGGATCCGGGTCGGGGTCGGGGTCAGGGTCAAGGTTGGGGTCGGGGTCAGGGTCGGGGTTGTGTCTGGCTTGGACAGAATGAGATTTTAAATATATATATATATATATATAATATTTATATCAATAATGCGACAATATTCACTGAGTGAATTTATTATTTTTGATCATTTGAACATATTATATTCACACTATAGTTTACTTTAACTTTAATTTATTTGACTGTCACACGTTTCTATCTTTAAGTTTGAGGGCAGAATGAAAAAATACATATTTTATAAAATGAATAAATTAGTGCTGTAATTTGAGAATAGTCATCCTCTGTAGATTTCAGGGCTATAATTATATAATTAACTTTATCTGTTTAATATAAACATTATATCGGATTCCCTCTGATCTCCTTTTATACATTTTATAAATAAAATAATATTTATTCTCTTTATTCCTCCCACAATGCATCCTCTCACTAGAGATGGAGACATGAGGGGAGGAGGGACATAAAGTGTAGGCCTACTAAGGGGCGGACCGTGCACGTGTGTTGGACGCAATCCAAAAATAAGGCGCGAGGAGGAGCGCGCGCGCCTTTTATTCATTCAGTGTCAGTACCGGTCCACCGGTCCGACCCGGAATAAACCCGCTCCGACCCTCAGGTGAGTCCTCTGCCTGGGTTTTATCATTTTTTAACTTAAATTGGCAGATTTTCTTACGGACTTCTGAATGGATTCTTACAGGAAGTCCTCGTCCACGTGTTTACTCGGTGACTGTGTGGGGGTGTGTGTGTGTGGGGGGGGTAAAGGCGCGATCAGCTGAATAAAGCGCGTTAATTTAACATATCAGAATGAATTAATAGTTATTAATATTGTTATTAGTTATTAATACTCGGTCAGGCTTCTGTAAATAAAACTGTTGGTATTTAATATCCGCGCTGAGCGGCCACGTGGGGACATAAATGGGATTTTATTTACATTCAGGCCGCTTTTACTTTGTTGATGGAGATTGTTATTATTGTGAATAAGTGATATTATAATAACTGGGTTTATAATATTAATAGATTAAAGTAATCCGGTGTGTTGCGTTTACTTTCTGTAACCAGGAAATAAATAGTGATGTCACCAGATCTGACAATATGGACTCAATGGGAGCCGAGAACAGCTTTTTATTCCCATTAAAAGTCCTGAATTTAAAATATTACGCGACTAAAACTGCAAAATGTAGTTAAAGTATACAAAGTAAAAGTTCTCCTTCCACATAATGTCTCCTTTTATAGTGTTATATTATTATATATTGTCATATTATTCACTTTTAATCGCTAATAAATACATCTTAGAGCATTTTAATGTCAATAAGGAGATACTTTTAGATTGTTTGTGTATTATTAGTAGAACTGCGTCATATCTCTTAATGTTTATATGTTTTTATATATGAGAGGAAACTGTAACTGTGTCAGAGTACAATATTTATATATTTATATATTTATAAAGTAACACAGAATGGAAAAACTGAAGGACAACACAAGTACCTCGAGTGTATTAGTAGAAGTACAGTAGCCTACTTGTTATTTCCCACCACTGTGTAACAACAACAACAACAACAACACTCATAATAACAACAATAACAGACTGATATGAACCGCAGGAGGAGGACTGTGTTTGAGGGACTTCAGCCGAACTTCTCAGTAAAACTTCGACATTAAAAGTAGAATAAATGATCAGAAATTACCGGAAAGAAACGACTTCACCCGCCAAATGAAATCAAAAACAGGCGGAAAACGAGCCGGATCTGGCGTGCCACCGGATGTGATGATGCAACGATGAGTCACAACAACCCACAACGCACTACTGCTGTTATCGTTGCTATGGTTTTCTACTCATCCATAAAGGATTTCAGTTTAAATTGTAGAAAAAACACCAAATAACTGGTGACAAAGTTACTTTATAGGAAGCAAATATTCAAATAAATTATAATAAATATGAAAATAAAACAGGAAATGACCTGAAAACTGAAACACAAATCTCAAAGACGTCAGAGAAACAGTTTCCAGTTGATCCAGGAGGGATTTTATTTTCTCAACACGTAAAGAAACATCCTTCAGTTTAACACTTCTACAGATTTTTCTTATTAGTAAAGTTACACAATATGATGCGTTCATATCATTAACAAGCTGCTTATAAATCAGTAGTAGTAATAATAATAATAATAATAATAATAAGTGGCCCTCACTCAGTTTCCCCCACTTTAAAAGGCAACTTGCTTCAGAAGATTGGACTGGAATTCACTCAGTGACCAAGATTCAGCTTTCTTTCTTTTCCTTCTTTTATTTTGAAAGTTGCCGAGGCCAATAACAGGTGAAAAACCTTAAATTCAAAGTAGTATAACCAACATTTAAAGCACTGTTCAATGACGATTTTAACGATCTTCAGCAGCGTTTACCTCTTTTAGATACACATAAATCACATTTATCAAATTACTTTAAGCTTTAAATACATCACATTTCTTAACTTCTTAAACGAAAGCTCACCGGCTCCTTCTTCCTTGATTGAAACAAGCTTTAGTCCTGCAGTCTTATTTCCCCAAGTCCAGTCTCTCCAACCATTTCTGTCACACATCCTGTTAGTGAGTGCTGATCACCAGATCACCTCCACCTGGTGCACTCGGTCTGCTGCCTTCAGGCTGAGAGACACACCCACACACCGGGGGCGCGGCCTGCAGCTCAACTCAACAATAATAATCCAATAAAATACTATAAAACTCTGACAGAAAGCCGACTGTACTTTCACTGAAGGTAAAAGAGTAAAAGGTGTGACGGTGTATCATTTTCTTGCCTTTTGGGGGCATTTTTAAAATGTGAGTTTTTTCAATGGAGTTTGGTGTGTGTGACATGTTGAACACACAAACGTCTAAAAGGCTTCAAAATCATCCCAACACACACATCTTACTGTAAACTCACATTTTACTCTTCATCGTTTAACACTTATATCTCGTAATTTAAGGTCCAAAATTAACCCTTAAATTGCTGGATTGAGGAACAGTTCACTTATATAAACCTTAAATTAAAATATTCAAACTCAATGTGGGAGCAGAAGCAACATTTGCTGATTCCACCTTAATCTGAACATGAGACATTTTAATTATTATTAGTTATTATAAACAAACCATTAGACACTATTTACAATTCTGAAATGAGCAGTTAAACTAAGTGCATGTTCCCTTCGCAGGGTAGCGCCAGTCTCCATTCACAAATCTTGCAATTAAAGATTTCAGGTGCAGCGGTGAGTGTTACCACCTGGAGAAATAACATTTATGATATTTTGCTAATTAAAAAGCTGCCAGTCTTCAATTCGGCCATCATCAGATACACAACAGTGGAAGATTTTTAAAGGTCTTGAAATCAGTGCAAAGAGCTCCAGCCTACAGATTAATTTATGTTAAAAAGCTGCTATTTGTCATCACAGACTGTCTAATAGACTCCAGTCTGTGGATTAAATTATATATTTATGTATAATTACATATACAGAACTGTAAATCACTTTAATCTGTTTCATTCAGAGGTTCTGACAGAAGCAACAGGATGTCTAACGAGAACAAACCGACCGACAAGTGAGTTCAATGTTTTGTATCGAACATTTTTCTGTATGAAGTCAGTTCAGGCAAATAAGAAGGTGTGTCTGTTTCCGCAGAGGTCAGGCTGTGGCCCTCATCATCTTCGTGCTCGGTCTGGGAACTCTGCTGCCCTGGAACTTCTTCATGACGGCCTCTCAGGTTTCTGCTTCATCCTTCCTCTTCATCACAGTCACAGAGAGACAACCAGTGTGGATTTATATCAGCCGATAACGGATTATCGATCATTATCAGCTGCTCTGATAAAGATAATTTCACATTTTTGTATTTTAAGAAGACGTTTGCAACCAGTAGAGTCTTTTGCATTAGAACTTAAACAACATTTTTATTATTATGGACCAATAATTTATCAGCTATTATTTAATTATCGTGAATATTTATAAATATAAATTTCCCATCATCGGCCCTGATAATTATCATACAACCCAAACGAAGATAATCCTGAAAAATGTCTCTTAATTACTAAAAATGGACGATTACCAATATATAATAATAATTAAATACCATACAACATTTTAAATGTATAATTATAAAAGCAACATATATGAGCTGGACAAGTGTATAAGCATGAAGTTCACATGAGCTTGTAGCAGTATATTGTTCCTAAAGAGGTGAATATGAGATATTTGGGGACAATAACAACAAACACTAACAACAAACAGCTGTAAGACACAAAGGTTACATACAAGTCATTCACAGCCAAGAGGAAAGAAAGAGAAATAAAGGTCAGAGTATCACCTGAAGTCTTTGTTCTGCGAGGCCTCGATTAAGTTTAAATAAGTGTAGTTTGATGCTTTGATGCCTCGTAGCAAGTTCCGTTTTTGTTGAGGTTAAGAAAGAAAGAGAACAGCACCGACAGTCGGATTAAAACCAGAGATAGAATTCGGGTTATGTTGTGTTTGAGGTTGTTTACAGCTGAGATTGTGTCCAAAGTTACAGCCGTTAATGAATTATTTCCCCTCTTTGTTAAAGTATTTCAACGGACGCCTCAACAACAAGTCCAACAGCACGTCGGCAGCGACTGAAGACTACAACTACGACAGCTGGATGGCCTTGCTTTCCCAGCTGCCCCTGCTGCTCTTCACCCTGCTCAACTCCTTCCTGTACCAGTGGTAAGTTCACGCCACCGCCGCCGCGAGCCGATGTTTCATTCACACGAGGACGAGGAGGAGGTTGAGGAAGAGGAGGATGAGGATGAAGGGTTTCTCTCTCTCTCTCTCTCTCTCTGCAGGGTGAGGGAGCGTATCCGTGTGGCCTTCAGCCTGATCGCCATCTTACTCTTCTTCTCCCTCACGGCGGCTCTGGTCACCGTCCCCATGCAGCCGGGCTCCTTCTTCTCCGTCACCATGGCGACCATCTGGTTCATCAACAGTGAGTTCACACGCTGAAGGTCTTTACATCATCTTCATCATCATCATCGTTGTTGTAGGAGTTGAGAGTGTTTTTCTCTCCCAAAATGAAGACAAACATAATGAGTTGTTTATTCAGAAGAAAATAGCAGAATTATGTTTGTTTGTTGCCCAATTTATTAATAAAATAAGTGTGTGTCTGTGTGTGTGTGTCTGTCTGTCTGTCTGTCTGTCTGTCTCTGTCTGTCTCTGTGTGCGCGCAGTGTTCAGCGCGGTGCTGCAGGGCAGTCTGTTCGGTGTGGTCGGCCTGTTTCCTCCTCGGTACAGCACGCTGTTTATGAGCGGTCAGGGTCTGGCCGGGCTCTTCGCTGCGGTCGCGATGCTTTTCTCCATCCTGAGTAAGTCTGAACCTGAACTCACAAACAACAACAACAACAACAACAACAGGACTGAGAGGTTTACAGCAGAAATACACTTTTTCTGTCTGTATTTAGTTTTATAAATTTTACCAATCAAACTAAATCTGCTTCCTTTCTGACGCAGGCTGACGATGTTTGTCAGAGACTGAAGGAGCATTTAGATCTCAAATAATAATCTAAACTTTAAAAACACCAACTTCATTTAGTTTAACTTAACAGAAATCAATAAAATGTTGAGATATCGTCTGCGTGTACGTTTTCTTACACACCTTAAAATCAAGAAGGCCTCGCGGCCCTCTAGTGGTTGGAAACAGCTGCTGACCTGTTGGTCATAAACAATAACTTTAAGTGATAAGATCAATAACTCAGATAATTATATATTAGGGGAGAACCTATTGCATCTTGATACTATAATATATTGATTCTCCGATCAATATGAGCGATATCCTATACGATCGATAACACAATCAGTTACATTTCTATCAACTCACAGAGCAACTAAAATATGATTCCTTATTGATATCGATATATTGATCCAGATCATAAAACTGTTTAGGGCTGCAGCTAATTATTATTTACACCTCTGATTAACCTGCCAATCATTTCCACAGTTAATCAATGAATCATGTGATCAATAAAGAGTCGTAAAGTTGTAAAACAATCCGTCTGCAAATGGCATTTTTTCTTTAATAAAATAACTCTGATTCATTTGCTGTCAATTGACTAATTGATTAATAGAAATACACGATATTATTGATTATTCTAGTAAAGTTAAAGTCTGTCTTTTGTTCTGCAGAAGAATCTAAAATAAATTAAAATGAACCTTTAATGTAATTTAATCATTTATAATAATATACATTCGTCCATCAGTTAATTAACCTTTACCACAGTTTAGAACTGACAGAGAGGATGAACATTGTGTCTGTTGCTCTGCAGGTAACGCTGATGAGAACACGGCGGCGTTGGGATACTTCATCACGCCGTGCGTCGCCACTCTGGGAACGCTGGTGTGTTACCTGCTGCTGCCGCACCTGGTGAGCTTTCATCTGCTCATTTTATACAAAGTTAATTCTGTTTTAAGAGACTAAACTAAACGAAATGAGTCCCTGCTACAGTGAAAATATCTGAAAACTGCTTTAACAAAAACATGTTTTAATGATTAAATTACCGACAGCTATCGACAGGAGTCCTGAACAACGATATATGTTTTATTTATCATTTATTTTAATGTTTTAATGGTAGAAATAAGAGTTTAAGAGGCTCTGTAACACACACATTAGGACCTTCTGACAGCTTTGACTCTCCTCTGCAGGACTTTGCTCGTTTCTACCTGAACAGAAGACAGTCGGATCCAGCGGAGGAAGTCTCGCCCCTTAAAGGTTCTTACAAAGTCTCTGATTCAGATCTGAGTCAAAGTTTGAATACCAAAGAGAATGAGGTCCGTTTGGGTGATGACATCACTAACTTAAGTCACTAACATTTTTATTTGTTTCCTTTTAAAGAAAAAGAAGCATTAAACAACAATCCTATAGAGCTGGAGGCCAAGGGGATCTCCGTCAGTGAGCCAGAGGAGCGCTCCTCCGTCCTGGCCGTCTTCAAAAAGGTGACCGATGATCTGTCTGACACATATTGTATCAGACGGGGCGTTATTATAAAACATTTCATCTTTTAAATGTCTTTTTTCTATAGAGTGCTGCAGGAATGAACCTAAAACCTGGAAATTAGTTTCCTGGATCCCTCAGTGGGTTTTTGGTTCTTGAGAGATTTTCAGAAATTTTAAAACACGTCAGTAAAACAACAAGCAGCTAAACGAGACTACAGAGGTTGTCGGTGACGTTAAAGCACTGAGACTCATCTACACACTCCTTCATACAAACTATTTTAACTCAAACGTTACAACTTATAGATCTTAAAACAAGATTTAATTACAAGTTGGAAGTTTAGTCTTTTTAGCTTTTTGCTTCCAGCCTGCCTCCAGGCTTCAACAATCACTTGTTCCAGGTTGTAAACACGTTTATTTCTGCTGTAAAGTTTTAATATGGAGACTCGCTGCTGGAGCCAGCCTCTAGTGGCCGTTAGAGGAACTGCAGTAACCATTAATAGTAATCTTGAATCTTCCCGTGTGTCCCACAGATCTGGAAGATGGCGCTGTCTGTGACGTGCGTGTTTGCCGTCACCCTGTCGGTGTTTCCTGTGATCACGGTCCGAGTGCAGACCGTCTACAAGAACCCCGCCTGGGGTGAGACATTACATCACTTCCTGTGTCCATGTCGTATTAGCGTTAGCGTTACCGTAGTTACGAGCCTCATCGTGGTGTGATATTGATCCTCACTCCATCGGTTCTCTGTCTCCTACAGAAAAAGTCTTCACCTGCGTTTGCTGCTTCATCGTCTTCAACGTCATGGACTTGCTCGGCCGCAGCGCGCCGTCTGTCGTCCAATGGGTGAGTCCGCTTCCTGCTCCGCCGTTTCAGATTCCGAGTAGACTTAGACTTCTCTTTATTGATCCCTTTGGGACGACTCCCTCAGGGAAATTGGATTTCCAGCAGCTTACAAAACACTTGTATAGAAAATAAAAGAGTATAAAAAATACAGTATAAGATAAACAATACATTCTTAGCTAAATATAGAAAGTAGAGATAAGAATAAAAGTAAAATAAAATCAAATGAAATAGATGTAGAGAAGTGTATAGAGGATAAATAGATAAATAAAGATAAATATATAGGGCTGTATATGGCATTGTGTTATTATACAGTGGATAAATGACATTAGCTAGTTAGTCAGTTAAATTAAATTATTGCACAAAGAAAGACTCGTTTCTAACTGACTGTGTTGACGTCTGTGCAGCCGTCGAAGGACAGCGTCCTGTTTCCCGGCGCCGTGCTGTGTCGTGTGGCCTTCATCCCTCTGCTCATGATGTGTAACATCCACAACTCCAACCTCAACGTCTTCAGCCACGACTGCATCTTCGTCATCATCATGGCGCTGTTCTCCTTCTCCAACGGTTACTTGGCGAGCCTCTGCATGGCCTACGCTCCACAGTGAGTCTAAAAAAAAAAAAAAAAAAAAAAAAAAAAAAAAAAAAAAAAAAAAAAGGAATAGTGGGGGGGCCCGGGGGGGGGGTTAAAAAAACTTTTTTTTTTTTAAGGGGGGGGGGGGGGCCCCCCCTGGCCCCAAAAAAAGTGAGATAGTATTGAGTCTTATGGAGAAATGAGTCAACTTCTCATTTGATTTATTAGCTTAAGAGATACTCTGACCTAAAATCTTGTTCTCCAGATTTATTAAAAGATGTTTTTTTGCTACAGACCAACAAAAAAATGACACATCATCCTTATTTTAATATTTTTTTCAGTGAAAAGTAAATTTGTGATGCAGAGATAGTTCCTGTATGTCGCAATATCTGTGAAAATAATCACAATATGATGTTTTTTATTGTATCGTGCAGCTCTAGATTTAGTTCCTCACTCAGACTGCGTAAAGCTGGGTCACGTATTTTGTTTGAAACTTTAAGTAGTTTATTATTTAGTATTAAGTGTGTCGATATTAGACCTATTGGTAAATTATATGACCGTTTGTGAGCAAGTGTTCTCGTCCTGGATTGTCAAGAAAACCTCCCGGAAAATTATTTCAGTTTGCACTTTTTTGTTGCTGTTGTTTGTTGTTTGTTGTTTGTTGTTGTTGTTGTGGTGGTGGTCACAAACACTGTGTATCCGTGTGGACTCGATGTAACTGTGTCCGTTTTCTGTCCGTCAGGTTCGTGCGGTCTAAGGACTGTGAGACCGCCGGCTCTCTGATGACCTTCTTCCTCGTTCTGGGTCTGGCACTCGGAGCGTCGTTCTCCTTCCTGCTGGGAAAACTGGTTTAGACGACAAAGACGAATGAAACCCGAGTTTACGCACTTTGTGTCAGGACTGCTGTTTGGTTCAGAATAGTCACAGCCCATATTTGTATAGATAAATTATTAGTACATTATATTGAACATATATAATGTCAACAACAGAACAGGAATTCAATGTTTAACAGTATTTTATGACACAAACTGTTTAATCTGTGTAATAATCAATTTAAAGGTCCAGTGTGAAACATTGAGGAGGATCTATTCGAAATGTAATATAATATTCACAGGTACCAAAGGAATTACCTAAAGAATGTTTTTATCTACAGAGGAAGCGGGTTCATGTTTCTACGGTAGCCCAGAACGGACAAACCAAACACTGGCTCTACACAGGAGCCACTCTAGTTTCTCCTACATACTTGAAGTGAGGCAGTTGCAATCTGTAACTGCACCACTAGATGCCACTAAGTCCTTCACACACTGGATCTTATAAATTACACGGAAATTTGTTTAAAATTCCTGCTCTTATTCTGAAGGGGACGAGTGGATTATTTTGAAAGTCCTCTCTTTGCCAGTGACTTCTTTGTCTTTGTCACAGCTTCACCTTCATACATACTGTCAGTGCTTCACCTTCTACCACGAGACCTTCAAGGGCGTCTGTAAAACGTAACGTCGTTTAGGAAATTAAAGCAATAGCTGGCTAACGCAGCCTAAAATATAAATTTTCTCCGTCGGTGCTTCGTTTAAAACATCCGATGGTTACATCACAGCAACAGAGCGCTCCTATTGGCTGCCGACACACCGACCACTGAACGGTTTACATGTTAACGGACATAAAGGGACGAAGCGCAGCAGTCTCACACTGATGAATCTTTTATTTTACTTTATGCTTTATTTAAAAGGGAATGTTTATTACTGAACTTTTTATTTTTTATGTATTTTGTTTGTTTGTTTTCAGCTTTATGTTTTTATGCACTGATTGTTTTTTTATGTGTGTGTGTTTGGGGGGGGGGGTTTGTATTTAATGTATTTTTATATCATTTTGTACCAACATGTTTTTATAATAGAATATCTTTTTCTATTGTTTTCTTATTGCTTATTTGTGTGTTTTTGTACCAAGCAGTCTCTAATAAGAATTGCTTTGATAATAAAATGCATAAATTGTCACTGTTATGTTTGTTTTTACACGTCAGACATACGGGGAAGTCTCTTTGGTGTTTTGGTGTAAAACAATAATCAGTAAGAAAAAATAAAAGACAAGAATCACAAATAAAATCAAAATGTTCAATAAAAAGTATGTTGTAATGAAAAGAGCGAACAGGTCCCAGGTTATTATATCAAAAAGCACAAAGATCTAAACAGTGGAAGGTAAAAAGAGTTAAAATCTTCTGCTCCTTCAGCTACATATATAACACAGCTCATAATATATATACTATTATACACAGTTTAATGAGGAAATGTTACAGATTATATCTTTAAAGCACTACTAGCAGTAATAATCTCAATCTGCTGCACCGTCAGACACATTGTGAAGTTTCTCTGCAAACAGACGGTGTAATCACATTAATGATCAGCTGTCATACATACAGTCAATGGTACAAACACAATAACACACACAGCCTCCGTCTTCCTGCAGCTCGGCCGTTTCCTCCCGCTTCCTCCCATTCTTCCACTCTCGTCATGGAAAATGAAAAAGGAAAGTTGCAGTGAGACGACGAGGTTATTGAGTGTCAGTAACTCTCAACATGAAGAAGCAGAAGACAGATAAATTATAGATTAAAAGCTTCGTATCGCTGCTGTAGGTGAGTGAAGTTCAACCTTACTGTGCCTCTGTAGCTTTCACTGCTCCAACTAACCCGACCACGACTTCAAACACACCGAATAACATACCATAATATTTAACAGGTTCGCTATCTGGTTAGCAGGCTAACATTTGCTAATTAGCACTAAACACAAAGTAGGAACCCTAAAAACAACAAAACCTTCATTGTTTCACCGTTTTTTAAACTTTTTTTTTAACTTATCCTTTTTTAAAAAGGACATTTTTCACTTGTTTTCTTGTTTGTCTTTATTAAGCTAAGCTAACGGGGCCTCCCATTGGTTATACCATTCCTCGCTAGTTAAGTCCCGCCCCCTTTTGGAGCCTCGGTCACTGTTCGGTAAGCTGTGTATCTATTTGAACACTTATTGATCTTTCTTTCTCAGATTGATCACAGCCATCAGAATGTTTGACCGATTCTTCGGCTTGTTGTTTTTCTCCTGATTTTAATACAAACTAAATAAAAATCCACCTTTCTCGTTTAACTCGATGCTATGTGCTAGGCTAGGCTTTAAAGACAGCCCAGTTTCCCCCAACATTATGAAAGTAGCTAATATTTGCAAACATTAGCTATCAAATGTAACTAGCTAACTAACGATTAATATAGATCAGTTAGCTAGCTAGCGTTTTGTTCCGTAGCAAACTTAACTGTTAGCTAACTAGCCACCTAAAGATGTAGCTAACAGTTGAGCTAGACCAGCTAGCTAGTTAGCTTCTGTTTTGCTAACATTAGCTCACTTCAGATACGACTTCATTTGTGCGTTTATGTTTTAACCATCTTCAAAATGGTAACGCTAACGCTAACGCGTAGCATATCTGGGTACAGGAAGATAACCAAAAAGGGGCGGGGCTTAGGAAGTGTCACATGACTCCGGCCGCCTAATGTCTGTAAAAAGTAAGTTTGGACGATATGGTGATTTAATTTGGCCTAACTTTAGCAAATAGCTCGTCTAAACACACTCTGCTCTCTATTATCACCACGTTCAGGTAAATACATTTATTGATCGTCTGCTTTTACACATCCAATAAATCCCAATTTGATCCATTATTATTAAAATCATGAGTGTGAGAAAGAGGATTTAATATTTTTTGGGGGGTTTTGCCTGAAGCAGCCTAACAATGAGCCCACTTGTTATTGACCTGAGAGAGAAAGGCATGCAGGGGCAGCTGATTATCAGAGTGTGTGTGTGTGTGTGTGTGTGTGTGTGTGTGTGTGTGTGTGTGTGTGTGTGAGTGTGAGTGTGTGTGTGTGTGTGTGTGTGTGTGTGTGTGTGTGTGTGTGTGCAGTGAACCAGGTTGTTAACGTCAGCGTCGCCTCAGTCGACAGGAGACGTTGGAGGCAGACAGAACTGGACCGGCAGCTTTACGTTCCTGCTGCTGTGGTTTTTTGTTGCTTTTCCTCTTCAGATCAAACATGGCTGAAAGGTGCAGAGTGACAGCGCAGGGCAGGAAGGTGAGTTCACACACCTGAGCAACGGGAAGCAGGTGAGGGATTGTTTAACCCTAACCCACCAGCACAGAGGGAAACCCTTTCAGATCTGACACACGTCTCACTTTAATGACCTTTTAGTTTTCATTTAGTTTTACTCAGTTATGAAAGAAAGTCAAACAACTAAAGTCAAGTTGAACCAGAATGAAACAACTTCCAGTCAGATTTAACAAAATAAAAGCTGTTTTAAATCCATGTGACACTTACAGGAAGATAGATTAGAAACACTATTGATTTTAATATTATGATTGTATTCTATGTTTAAATCTACCTTATTTAATTTTTATTCCATTATCAACTTCAGGCACTGAACTGTGTGAAAGCTGCTGTACAAATAAAGTTTAACTGATTGAGAAACAGACAATAAAAACAACAAAGCTGAACCAGAAGAGTTAAAAATCAGGTTCAGATAATTAACTTTTTACGAGCATCATCGGTAAAATGTGTCAGTACTTTTATTTTAAAAGAAACTGTAAATAGTTTTGTTACCAGTTTCAGGCTTAAATTTACTCAACTCAACTTTATCCATACAAACATTCACACAACAAACTGTAACAACAATAAAACGTAAAAAAAACACAGATTACAGACTATAACATTACTCCAAAATAAAAGATTAAAAAGATTGTTCTTTAACGTCCTTTTAAAAATACTGAGAGAGCTCGACACAAAAGGCACCGATGTACGAATACAGATACAGATAATGCTGTAATAAAACTAGGTTTATATATAAATATGTATAAAGAGCAACAACATACAGTGTCTGTATACAAAATAAATACAAATAGTGCAAAGGTAATGACGCATGTAGACACAGTGTGATATGTTAGAGCACAATGTGTATTATAAACTATAAATATTTCATTTAAAATGTGTATAATTTGTAAGTGGATGTTTTAGTGTTATTGAAGTTTGATTTATTTAAAAGGGTACAGTGTGCATTAATAAATAGGAGGATTTAACCACATGTGCAGCCTCTGGTAGGTTGATGGTACGTCAGAAACAATAAAAGAACATAAATACAAACAATATCACAGATAAAGAACATAAATACAAACAATATCACAGATAAAAGCACAATGACCATATTATGTCTCCTATATGTCATAAAGGACAAACAAAATAACTTTATATATATGTATGTAATATATATATATATAATCTATTCTATTCTAAATGTTTTAAAAGTATTTTCTCTCTTCACACTACATCATACTAACGTGATCTGTGAACCTTCAGCTGTGTTTCCATCAGCTGCTTTTATTTTGAAGGCAAACCTGATTTCAGTCTGAACGCAGCACGTGCTGGTCACACGGCCTGTGACGTCATCAGCCAGGATCAGCCACTTTGTGTCTTTGTTGTTGTTGTTGTTGTTGTTGTTTTTATTGTTGTTGTTTACTGCTGGAAGAGACTTTTAATGTTTGAAACATGGATCAGTAATTAAGATTTCCACTCTGTGTTACTTTACTCTTTAACTCTGTTGGGGTGTAATGGATTACAATGAGTTATGTAACCAGGATACAAAAAAAGGAAACTTTAATCCATTACAGTTACAGATGGAATATGTAATCAGATTACAGTTACATAAATGAGGATTATCAGAAGGATTACAGTTTTAAAATACTGAGCAGAGTAACACAAAGTAATCAGGTTACTTTACTGTAATATTAGGTTACTGACTACATTTAACAGGTAATTAGTAACTGTATCAGATTACATTTTAGAGTAACCCTGATCAGTGTTTGAAACTGGCTCCACATTGATGAACTTCAGCATTAAAAACAGAATAATACGACTGTCTGTGTGTTTTAAAGAGAGCTGCGTTAATGTAATGGAGTATTTTTTAATGGTATTTCTACTTTCTACTTAAGTAAAGTTACTTCAAACTATCTGAATCCCCTCACTGATTCTCTCTTTCCTCTCAGAAATGGGTTCTTCCACAGAAAAGTGTGACTGATGAGAAGAAACCGAGTGTTCGCTCTACAGACGCCGACAGAAGTCTGGTAACACTGAAATCACACAAACAAACAAACAAACAAACAAACATAAACATAAACACACAAACATAAACATTACATCATAACAACAGAGTGAACAAATGCATTAGACTAAAATCTGAGTGATTGTTTTTATATAAAAGCAAAATAATATTTGATAATTTGATAAAAAAAACACTAAATCAACTAAATCTTATTTATTTTAAAGATAAACAAGATCAAAAAGAGAAATAAAGGTTTTAAAGAAGAACACGTTTGGAAAATGAGTGAAAATTAGTTATTTTAAATAATATTTTTATTGAATTTTGTGTTTATTTCACACATATAAATAAACAATCATGATAATAATTAGCAACATTTAATATAGTAGTTTTTAAAACATCCCATTTTCTGTCCCAAATACTTCGTTATATAATATTTATAATTTTGATGTTTGTAATTTCATCAGATTTATTATCTATTTTTCAAAATAAAGTTACAATATTAGAAGAAGAAAGTCGGAACTTTTGTTATATTTTGAGAATTAAATGTTAAATATTATAATTAGATTGTTATGAAAGTAAAGTTATAAAACCAAATGTTGTAATTTTACCAGAAAAGTCCAAATATTTTGTAATTTTATGAGAAAAAGTTAAGTTGTGATATTTCGAGATAAATCTTACAAGAAAAAACGAATGTACCCTAATCATAACTTAATAAAACAACGTCATTATTCCCAAAATATCAGAACTTTATCCTGTAATATTATATAACTAACTATTTTCTCTAAATATTTCAACTTTATTCTCAAAACCTCACATATCTTCCCCTCAGTGTCCCAAATATTCAGTCACATCTGAGTATAGCAGTATTTTTAATTTCATAATAGAATATGTTGATGACTTTTTCCTTTAATTTATAAAATCAACATTTTTTCATGTCTTTTATTGTTTTTAGTTCCACTTTAATCCAGAATAATTAACCACAATATATGTGAACATCTCTTCGTCTTCATGCGTGTGCAGGCGGTTCCTTTCAGAGGTCACGTCTCAGGCGGGATGCGTCCGGGGAAGAAGGTCGTAGTGTTCGGAGTCGTGGAGCCTCGTCCCGACAGGTAAAAACACCTTCATGTAACTTCCAATAGTTTCCAAGGATGTGATTGGATTGTTGGATTGTGGGGTAATGATTAGTAATTAGTTACACTACTAGTTACTGGGGAAAGTAATATTATTACTAGTAATGCCGTACTGACTGACGCTGACTGTAGTTTCTGCCTCGCACTGCGGATTCCCCTCGGAGTACCGCTTCTGTCCACAGGGGGCGCCAGAATCAACACAAAATAAAAGTCCCTTGCAGCTGCTTTAATAAGAGTTTTATTTTTCTGACTTAATATTTTTTTCTGTATATAATTTGTATATATATTATGTATAAGTTAATTACAATGCTGCCTTGTAAAATAACAATTACATATGCTTCAGGTAACAGAGTATTTTTCCACTGTGGTAGTCCGACTTTACGAGATAATCTGACTCGGATTTACGGCCGGTGTCCGTCCCTCCGTCAGGTTCTACGTCGCCCTCACATGCGGCCGTGGGACATCCGGGGAGCCTCCGACTGATGTGGCTCTGGAGCTGTGCGTCAGATTCAGGGACCGGCAAGTCCTGCGAAGAGCCTGCGTGTCTGGATCCTGGGGGGACGTCGACAAAGCCGTCCCGTTCTTCCCCTTCATCAGAGACCAGCCGTTCAAGGTACCAACATAAGCTCTGAACCTGCGGCAGCTCATAGTTAAACTACATGTTTCATATGACCAAGCAGCAGTTCCTCTAACGACCACTAGAGGCTGGCTCCATAAGGCCTCATATTAAAATGTCCAACTGTACAGCAGAAATAAACCTTTTGGTCTCTAGAGCTAATTACCCCGTTTCATTACAACTGTACAACTCAGCTGTTTCAATTATATTCAATTATATTAAAGATTTCCCTCTTGTGGGGGGGGGGGGGGGGGGTGTGGGGGGGGGGGGTTATAATTTATTTACCCCCCTTAAATACTCCACACAGACGCAAAACAGCCACCACATCAAGTTACAGCAACAACATTGTACTTTGTTATACGGGCTCTAGGAACCTGAACAAACCCAAATAATGACCTAAACAAACTCTATCTCTCTCTCTCCTTTTACTCCACCAATTCCTTCAACTACATTATAAAAAGTATCACAAAACTGTTAGAATAAATCTAAAACAAAAATTTATCTGTAAAAAAATTTTTTTTAAAATAAATTTTTTAAAAGTTTTGGTTTAAACCTTTTTTTTTTGAAAAGTGTCCTGAGAAAACTTCTGTTATGAATTGGCGCTATACAAATTGAATTGAATTGAATTGTTTCAGAGCTTGGGCATACCTTATTTAAAACGCCGCTCCCATCGACACAAACAGGTTAATCACCATGTCGAACTCCACCCTGCTGTACCTCACCATCAGCTCACCTTTCAGTGTCTCCCTGCAGATCGCTGGCTAATGTGCACATGCAAAGACAACAAGTGCCTGGCTTTCTCAAAGCGAGCTTGTGACTGCTCGACCATTAAGCCACATCACTGTGCGGCTACTGACACATTATCAGAGCGCCGCATCCTGCGCGGCGTTACAGCGGCTGCAGCTGTGTCCACATCTGGATTTGGCTGATTGTCATCTGTGGTCAGCAGTTCAGATGTGAAGCATGAAACATTCTCCAGGCCCTGTCTCGTTTTGAGAGAATCTGTGGTCTTAGACGTGTACTTTGCAACCTGTGTGTTTGACAGGTGATCAGCTGATTGACTGTCTAAAAAAGAGAACTGGTCCCTAGCCTCACTGTACTGTAGTTACTGCGCTGTGATTGGTCGAAGGTCAGCCTTTGGGCTGAATGAAATTAGCCCATTCACAGGAAAAAACCCAACATATATCATATATCCTGGGTTTTTCTGTCACTTTTTGGTGCTGTTGCTGCTCTAGGTTCTACCAAAATTCAAAACAATATGTTCTAAGGTTTTTAATAATAGTTTTTCATCTTTACTGTAAAAGATAGGGGGGGCTTAGCCCTGTTAGCCCATATATACCAGTCGTCCCTGCCTCACTGTCACAGGCTTCATTCAGCCCGCCTCTTTGCCCAGTTTTGGATTAGCCGGGAGCCGGTGGAGTATTTTTTAAAGGTTTTCTAGCAGGCCTTAAAATCAAAAAGGCCTCAAGAAGTTTTGGTGACCTCTAGTGGGGGTCCTGACCCCCAGGTTGGGAACCAGTGTTTTAACCTAACCAAAGTGCATCTGTTTCACAACATTAACTGTGTGTTTAACGTAACTTTAAAGGGAAACTTCTTCTGTATTTTGCTGCATTTGTAGATAAAAACGTAAGATTCTTGTATTCAGGAGATTAAACACTAATGAAAACATACATATTAATATTATATTATGTTTCTGACATTAGATCCTCCTGATTGTTTCACACTGGACCTTCAACAGCCTTCAGATTTGACCTTGTTTGGTTTCCCTTTAAAATGTTCCACCTCTGAAATGAAACTGACCAAACATCCGCTGCTTGTGTCTCCTCCCAGATAGAGATTCACTGCGAACAAAGTCGTTTTCTTGTGTTTGTGGACGGCCAGCAGCTGTTTGACTTTTACCACAGAGTGACGTCGCTCAGCGATATCGACACGCTGTGGATCAAAGGCAGCGTTGCTATCACTAAACTGGCTTGAAGTGAAGGTCACTGGTCTGTATTTACTCTGGACATTTTTAGTAGCAGGTGTTAAATATGGAGACAATTTAGTGTCAATATTGGTGATAAATACGTGTTTTATGATCTATGAATGATATATGGAGGTTGACAAACATGTAAATTATTAGTTTGAATTGGTTGGTTTTTGTTAGTGGACAACCAATCATCTTGTAGATCATGAAACACACAGTTTCTCTCCATAGTTTAAAACTGGATATTGATCTTAGAAGCAGGGGCGTGTCCAGAGAGGGGGCGGGGCTGCGACCTGGGACCCTGTTATCCTTCCTTCTTCCATCTTTCAGAGGCTGTAACGGGCTCCGTTTTAATGCTAGAGGAAAATCTCATATGAAACTATAAACCAACCATTGACATCCACATGGTGTGCAGCAGTGATCGGGGTTGGCCCCGCCCATACGCCCAACTCAACTCTTTTATAGCATCAAATAACTAATGAAAACCAAACTTACCAGGAAAATGAGATCTTGAACCAACATCAGTGTGATAAAAAAACTACCTAAAGTACCAGAAACCATCTTTGGGCCAGACTAAGAGTTATTTACGATAATTATGATTTAAGAATTACGAGAATAAAGTCGTAATATTACGAGAATAAAGTAAACTGTTTAAGGACGAAATTATCAGTGCGTTAGTTTACCTGTTGACTGTACGGTACGACTGAGACAAACAGCGGCTGCTGGGCTCAGACTGAAACTGCTGATTGGTTGAGCTGCTCACGTCAGATCTTCATAACTCTATAGAAGCTTCTTTCTCATTAAAACGACTTTTTTTCTTGTAATATTGCGACTCTATTCTCATAATTTCCAAAATTATCAAAATTAATTTTTCCTCTTAGTATGGCCCTAATACTCGTCGTAGGGAAAAATTTATTTGACATGTAATTTTGAATTTGCTAACATGGAGGCTTTATGAGCTGTACTGCAGTCAGCCACCAGGGGGCGCTCAAAAGTTAAATTCTGCTATAACCATTTTCACATGGATCCATTGACCTTTGACCTCAAGATATCTGAATAAAAAAGGGTCCTATGGGTCCCCACAAGTGAATATTTCTCAGACTCAGTAAGTTTCCACATACGAGAGATTAGCATTGGTACACTGGTGCATAAGAATCACAATCAAATGTAGAAAAATATAAATAAAGATAAGAAAAATTTAAAAATAGAGACACTAAAAAGGAGCCTCTATATAGAAATATATATTATATTATATTCTGCATCAATCAGTGCCCCTCTTGTTCAACCGCAGTCAGAAAACGTCCAGACACGCCCGTTAATTTCCTTTTATATCACAAAGCTGAACTCAGATTGACTCAGGAACTAATGATTAATGATTAATGATTAATGATTAATGATTAAAGTGCCACTGATTATCAATTAAATCGCACTTGATTTCACTGTAATTTTTTTAGGATTTTGGTAAAGCTGCTGGATGTCTTAACCTTTTAACTTTTTTACATTTTTATTATACATTTTTTTATATATATATTTCTTTTTGTATCTTCTATTGAAATGTAAATTGTACACAGTGGTCAGAGGCCATGTAGACGCCCCTCCGCTGTATTTTCTCTGTGGTTTTTGAGGCGTTCAGGAACCTGTGGGAGTTATATGTCTTTAAAAATGTTTATAAAACGAATTAGAGACTTTCCTCCTCCCTAAAAAAGTCCACATTTTAAAGGAGGATCATTCACAGTATTTCTTAAATCTGGCTAAATATGTTAAATAAAAGTTTCCTGTGAAATTGTGTTGAAATGAATAAATAAAATCCTAAAAGTGACAAAAGATCAATAAATAAGTGAAGTTTTAGCTGCAGATACACAAACAGATGTTCACTCTCTCAGTTTGTGTCTGGGATTGTTTTTATATTTTGTTCTATGTATTTTTTTTATATCCTATATTGTGATGATGAATAAACAAAAGAAGACAAAGATGAAGACTCTCTGATGTGTAAAATGTGACGACTACCTCAAACCACACTGTGAGCGTGGAAATGAGAAATAAATCCGTCTGTTTTCTTCTTTTATATTATTGATTGTGTTTTTAATGACTGTGTTTCCTCTGAGTGAATGAATGTGAATGATGTGGTTGCAGGTTCATTTATCACCAGTAAAAATGTTCTTGTTTCTCTGAATTAATAATAAAGTAGAATTACGGTGGTCTAATGTGTATAGCTGCAATCAACACTTTAATACTTGTGTTCAGTATAATGTAATCCAGCATTATTATCATCGTTTAGTGTTTAAAATGTCAAAAGCAGAGTAATATTTCCATCTCGGAGACACAAATGTGTTCAGATTGTAAGAAGAGAAGGAAAATAAATCAAATTTCTGGGATTACTGGAATTTGAACATTGTTTTCTGATATGTGACTCATATGTTTACAACCATTGTTCTAATATTTTAATAATAATTTATATAATTTTAAGATACTTTTACTTGTATTTTTCAGATATTCTAATTTTTTTTGGGGATATTGGATTTTACTGATATTTCTTTGGATATTTTACAGATTTCTTTTGTAAAATATTTCACTAATATACTTAATTGGATTTTTCTTTTTTAAGTTTTGTGGAATATTTCACTAATACTTTTCTGATATTTTACAAATTTGTTTCATATATTAAGTAATATTTTTTGGGATATTTGTTTTCTGATAATTTACTAATATTTTTCAGATATTTGACAGTTTTAAAAAAATAATGTTTTTAACACTGATGGGCCCTCGTATAGTTATGGAAGGCCATTATCAGGATTCTTTAAGTCTTTATAATGAGAACCTCTCAAAATAATGACTTATTATCTCAAAGTCATTATTTTTGAGAAAGTTTCTCATTATTTTGATGAAGTTTCTCATTATTTTGAGATAGTTTCTCATTATTTTGATAAAGTTTCTCATTATTTTGAGATAGTTTCTCATTATTTTGATAAAGTTTCTCATTATTTTGATAAAGTTTCTCATTTTGAGATAGTTTCTCATTATTTTGATCAAGTTTCTCATTAATTTGAGATAGTTTCTCATTATTTTGATAAAGTTTCTCATTATTTTGAGATAGTTTCTCATTAATTTGAGATAGTTTCTCATTATTTTGAGATAGTTTCTCATTTTGAGATAGTTTCTCATTATTTTGATAAAGTTTCTCATTATTTTGAGATAGTTTCTCATTATTTTGATAAAGTTTCTCATTATTTTGATAAAGTTTCTCATTATTTTGATATAGTTTCTCATTATTTTGATAAAGTTCCTCATTATTTTGATATAGTTTCTCATTATTTTGATAAAGTTTCTCATTATTTTGATAAAGTTTCTCATTATTTTGAGATAGTTTCTCATTATTTTGATAAAGTTTCTCATTATTTTGAGATAGTTTCTCATTATTTTGAGATAGTTTCTCATTTTGAGATAGTTTCTCATTATTTTGATATAGTTTCTCATTATTTTGATAAAGTTTCTCATTATTTTGATAAAGTTTCTCATTATTTTGAGATAGTTTCTCATTATTTTGATAAAGTTTCTCATTATTTTGATAAAGTTTCTCATTATTTTGATAAAGCTTCTCATTATTTTGATATAGTTTCTCATTATTTTGAGATAGTTTCTCATTATTTTGATAAAGTTTCTCATTATTTTGATAAAGTTTCTCATTATTTTGAGATAGTTTCTCATTTTGAGATAGTTTCTCATTATTTTGATAAAGTTTCTCATTATTTTGATAAAGTTTCTCATTATTTTGAGATAGTTTCTCATTATTTTGATAAAGTTTCTCATTATTTTGAGATAGTTTCTCATTTTGAGATAGTTTCTCATTATTTTGATAAAGTTTCTCATTATTTTGAGATAGTTTCTCATTATTTTGATATAGTTTCTCATTATTTTGAGATAGTTTCTCATTATTTTGATAAAGTTTCTCATTATTTTGAGATAGTTTCTCATTATTTTGATAGTTTCTCATTATTTTGAGATAGTTTCTCATTTTGAGATAGTTTCTCATTATTTTGATATAGTTTCTCATTATTTTGATAAAGTTTCTCATTATTTTGATAAAGTTTCTCATTATTTTGATAAAGTTTCTCATTATTTTGAGATAGTTTCTCATTATTTTGATAAAGTTTCTCATTATTTTGATAAAGTTTCTCATTATTTTGATAAAGCTTCTCATTATTTTGATATAGTTTCTCATTATTTTGAGATAGTTTCTCATTATTTTGATAAGGTTTCTCATTATTTTGATAAAGTTTCTCATTATTTTGAGATAGTTTCTCATTTTGAGATAGTTTCTCATTATTTTGATAAAGTTTCTCATTATTTTGATAAAGTTTCTCATTATTTTGAGATAGTTTCTCATTATTTTGATATAGTTTCTCATTATTTTGATAAAGTTTCTCATTATTTTGATAGTTTCTCATTATTTTGATAGTTTCCATTATTTTGATATAGTTTCTCATTGTTTTGATATAGTTTCTCATTGTTTTGAGATAGTTTCTCATTTTGAGATAGTTTCTCATTATTTTGATAAAGTTTCTCATTATTTTGATAAAGTTTCTCATTATTTTGAGATAGTTTCTCATTATTTTGATATAGTTTCTCAATATTTTGATAAAGTTTCTCATTATTTTGATAGTTTCTCATTATTTTGATAGTTTCTCATTATTTTGATATAGTTTCTCATTGTTTTGATATAGTTTCTCATTGTTTTGATAGTTTCTCATTATTTTGATAGTTTCTCATTATTTTGATATAGTTTCTCATTGTTTTGATATAGTTTCTCATTGTTTTGAGATAGTTTCTCATTTTGAGATAGTTTCTCATTATTTTGATAAAGTTTCTCATTATTTTGATAAAGTTTCTCATTATTTTGAGATAGTTTCTCATTATTTTGATATAGTTTCTCAATATTTTGATAAAGTTTCTCATTATTTTGATAGTTTCTCATTATTTTGATAGTTTCTCATTATTTTGATATAGTTTCTCATTGTTTTGATATAGTTTCTCATTGTTTTGATAGTTTCTCATTATTTTGATAGTTTCTCATTATTTTGATATAGTTTCTCATTGTTTTGATATAGTTTCTCATTGTTTTGAGATAGTTTCTCATTTTGAGATAGTTTCTCATTATTTTGATAAAGTTTCTCATTATTTTGATAAAGTTTCTCATTATTTTGATAAAGCTTCTCATTATTTTGATATAGTTTCTCATTATTTTGAGATAGTTTCTCATTATTTTGATAAAGTTTCTCATTATTTTGATAAAGTTTCTCATTATTTTGAGATAGTTTCTCATTTTGAGATAGTTTCTCATTATTTTGATAAAGTTTCTCATTATTTTGATAAAGTTTCTCATTATTTTGAGATAGTTTCTCATTATTTTGATAAAGTTTCTCATTATTTTGAGATAGTTTCTCATTTTGAGATAGTTTCTCATTATTTTGATAAAGTTTCTCATTATTTTGAGATAGTTTCTCATTATTTTGATATAGTTTCTCATTATTTTGAGATAGTTTCTCATTATTTTGATAAAGTTTCTCATTATTTTGAGATAGTTTCTCATTATTTTGATAGTTTCTCATTATTTTGAGATAGTTTCTCATTTTGAGATAGTTTCTCATTATTTTGATATAGTTTCTCATTATTTTGATAAAGTTTCTCATTATTTTGATAAAGTTTCTCATTATTTTGATAAAGTTTCTCATTATTTTAAGATAGTTTCTCATTATTTTGATAAAGTTTCTCATTATTTTGATAAAGTTTCTCATTATTTTGATAAAGCTTCTCATTATTTTGATATAGTTTCTCATTATTTTGAGATAGTTTCTCATTATTTTGATAAGGTTTCTCATTATTTTGATAAAGTTTCTCATTATTTTGAGATAGTTTCTCATTTTGAGATAGTTTCTCATTATTTTGATAAAGTTTCTCATTATTTTGATAAAGTTTCTCATTATTTTGAGATAGTTTCTCATTATTTTGATATAGTTTCTCATTATTTTGATAAAGTTTCTCATTATTTTGAGTAGTTTCTCATTATTTTGATAGTTTCCCATTATTTTGATATAGTTTCTCATTGTTTTGATATAGTTTCTCATTGTTTGAGATAGTTTCTCATTTTGAGATAGTTTCTCATTATTTTGATAAAGTTTCTCATTATTTTGATAAAGTTTCTCATTATTTTGAGATAGTTTCTCATTATTTTGATAAAGTTTCTCAATATTTTGATAAAGTTTCTCATTATTTTGATAGTTTCTCATTATTTTGATAGTTTCTCATTATTTTGATATAGTTTCTCATTGTTTTGATATAGTTTCTCATTGTTTTGATAGTTTCTCATTATTTTGATAGTTTCTCATTATTTTGATATAGTTTCTCATTGTTTTGATATAGTTTCTCATTGTTTTGAGATAGTTTCCATTTTGAGATAGTTTCTCATTATTTTGATAAAGTTTCTCATTATTTTGATAAAGTTTCTCATTATTTTGAGATAGTTTCTCATTATTTTGATATAGTTTCTCAATATTTTGATAAAGTTTCTCATTATTTTGATAGTTTCTCATTATTTTGATAGTTTCTCATTATTTTGATATAGTTTCTCATTGTTTTGATATAGTTTCTCATTGTTTTGATAGTTTCTCATTATTTTGATAGTTTCTCATTATTTTGATATAGTTTCTCATTGTTTTGATAGTTTCTCATTATTTTGATAAAGTTTCTCATTATTTTGATAAAGTTTCTCATTATTTTGAGATAGTTTCTCATTATTTTGATAAAGTTTCTCAATATTTTGATAAAGTTTCTCATTATTTTGAGATAGTTTCTCATTATTTTGATAAAGTTTCTCATTATTTTGATAAAGTTTCTCATTATTTTGATAAAGTTTCTCATTATTTTGAGATAGTTTCTCATTATTTTGATAAAGTTTCTCATTATTTTGAGATAGTTTCTCATTATTTTGATAAAGTTTCTCATTATTTTGATAAGGTCTCTCATTATTTTGAGATAGTTTCTCATTATTTTGATAGTTTCTCATTATTTTGATAAAGCTTCTCATTATTTTGATAAAGTTTCTCATTATTTTGATAAAGTTTCTCATTATTTTGAGATAGTTTCTCATTATTTTGATAAAGTTTCTCCTTATTTTGATAAAGTTTCTCATTATTTTGATAAAGTTTCTCATTATTTTGATAAAGTTTCTCATTATTTTGAGAAAGTTTCTCATTATAAAGACTTACAGAATGCTGTATGTTAACCCTGTGATAATAAAGCCAGGTGTTAGAGAGCAGTGGACACAGTGGGGGGGGGGGGGCTGTTACCTGTTAAAGATGGAAACTTTCGGAGGAAACAAACAGCAGAGAGCCGCGCTGCCCCCGGCCGCGGTGCATGCTGGGTGACATTGAGGCAGGGTAGCAGCAGCCGGCGGACTCAACCTTCAGTCGGGGCTCCACTTCCCGCCGTCCTGCGCCGCTCAGCCGGCTTCAGCCCGACAAAGCCCGGACACTAACCGCCGCTGACTCACCATGGACCCCAGCGGACAGCATCTGACGGTGAGCTCCACGGTTTCCCGCCGCTACCGGAGACACCTGCTGTCCGCCAGAGCTGCTGGATGGAGAGAGGCTAACGGCTAACGGCTAACGGGGCTAACGGCTAACGGGGCTAACGGGGCTAACAGGGCTAACGGAGCTAACGGGGCTAATGGGGCTAACAGGAGCTAACGGAGCTAACGGGGCTAACGGCTAACGGCTAACAGATGCTAGTTGTTGTCGTTAAGTGTTAGCTAGCTGCGTAGTTAGCTAACTTCTCCCTCACCTGTCTCCGGAGGAGTTTGCTTTCACGAGCACACCTGAGTTGACCGTGTTGTTGTTGTTGTTGTTGTTGATGAACAAAGTGTCAACAAACTAAATCAGCTGACGAGCTAAAGCTAAGTTAGCTCCTGCGGGCTGCCTCGGCCTTTAATTAGATAGCTGCTAGTGAATGCTAGCCGTTAGCTTCGGGTCAGACGGATCCAGCTGCTGGGTTTCCCCTGAGCTAACGCCAGCTAGCCTCCTGTATTCACCTGAAACAGGTGAGTGAGGGACTCCGTGTGCAGCCAGGTGAACTCCTGGAAGGTAGTGAGACACACAGCTGTCTTTAACAGGTAACGTTTAATGTTTGCTGGTAGATTAATAAGTTTAAAGCTCAGCAGAGACACTGATAGTAAACTTTATTTAAACCTTTAAACTCATCATTAAACATTAAACCGTGTGTCCTTGTGCAGGTCGTCCCAAAGCCGAGGGGTCCTTTCAGATTGAAGCCTTGACTTTGGGACAGGTGTACCCCACCTGAGGATCTACAGCTGGCTCTTAAAGGGAGGGGGGGTGATCAGGTGTTTGGTTTCCTGGGGAACAAACGTTCAGCCGGTTCCTTCGTTGTTAACTCGTCTTTCTGGACTTGCGTGTCTGTAGTCTGGCTGGGTGTAAACTACCTGCTCCCAGGTATTCTGCCAGATAAGGCCAACAAAGCAAACACACACACTCACACACACACTCACACACACACACACACTCACACACACACACACACTCTGCAGACGCCGCCCACGGCTCCCGTCGGTGGTTGAGAATGCAAACAGGGTTTCCTCTTTCAGGTAGAAGTCCAGATGTAATCTTTATTTTAATAGCAGAAAGTTGTGGAGGAACATTTAGTAAATTCCTGATTACACACTGGACCTTTTAATTGATTATATGTTTCAGCTGTAAAAAAAATCAGATATTAGTAAAAAACAGAGCAGATTACTGTTTCCTAAAGCCCGAGGCGACATCTTCAAACAGTTTTCTGTCAGAGCAACAGTCCAAAGCTGTTCACTGATTATAAAACAGGAACCAGTCGACTGGTCGGTAGCACGGTTATGATATTAATTTAAATGCTAACAGTAAAGTAATAGTGTGAACGAACCTCCCCTCAGTCTGGGTAGAGTCAGTGGCCAGTGGCTGTTAGTCCATTCAACAGTGAAAAGTCTGTTGAAACACAACAACTAATGAAAAGTGGGTCTTTTAAGACTCTTCTCTATTAGACGACAGCCCTGCACATTAAAGAAACCAGACAGACGATGTGGTGTGAAGTCTTTATATGTTTAAATGGAGCCGTTTATTGTTTTTAAAGCACACAACTAATTCAATTAACTGAACAGCAATTTAAGACGACATTAAACCCATAAAATAAAGCATTTAACAAACCTATACCCTGTTTTCAGAAGCATAATCCTGAAAAACTTCTGAAGCTCATCCAGGAAGTTTACAGAGGGCATGTTCACAGTGTTTGGACAAGGAAACGATGATAACGTCTCTGTTTCATGCGAGCGGGCTAACTGAGAGTCAGAGGAACGATAGCAGATGTAAAAAAAGATACGGACCGTGTTTCTCTGCCGCCCTGAGGTTGTTTGTTGGCTCAGTGGAAACATCACATGAAGAAGTTTATAAGTCAGAAGCAGACTGACGTGAGCCGTCAACGTTTCTGTTGTTACAGCTCCGGTTTCTCATTAACACTCTTATTGCTGTCAGTCTGATGCCAATCTGTCCTCTTTTAGTGCTTCAGTAATTCAATTTCTGCTTCAGCTCAAACCACACATCGAGCTAATTGGTTGTGGAGCACCACTGAGAGCTGTCCTTATTTATTCTTTATTTATTTACTTCTTTATTTATGAAACCAGAATGTGTTTTCATTAATCTCTCTGCTGTGACAGATTATTTGTGTCTGATTGCGTCTCTTTTTGTCTCGCTGTCTCAGGTGTAGCCAGGAGGATTCGTTGATTGCCAGAGAATCATGGAGCCAGATGTCATCCGCATATACTCTTCCTCTCCGCCCCCGATGGAGGAAGGCGCCGAGGAAGAGGACAGCGAGTTCGGAGACTTCGGCACCTTCTCCGGCGTCCCGAACAGCATCAGCTTCACGGAGTTCGACACCCCGACCACTTTCAACCAGACCCAAGCTCTGACCGCCACCTCCCCGCCGGAGCTCCTCAACAACAGAGGGGTGACGGCGTTCAGCCACAGCTCCTCCAACGGCACCCACGGCCCCAATAACGAGCTGTCCAAGGCTAATGGCGTGATGCCAGGGAGCCACCTGGGCAGCAGTCCCTCAGAAAGAACTGACATGAAAAAGGTCCTGTCCAGCTCCCCGGATATTCCGGCGAGCGACACAGCCGGCGGCGAGCCTGCTGATTGCAACGGCAGAGGCACCGAGGTGCTAACAAATGGGTTTGCAACCTTTGACGTTCAGGGAAGCCCTTCCTCACAGAATTCTGTCCACTCTCATATAAAAGGAACGTCCACTGAGGACACGGGCAGCGTCCCTGTCGGCAGCCCAGAGGACGATTTCGCAGACTTTGCTGCTTTTTCCAATACTGAAGGACACCTCAGCCAGACGGCAAACGAGGACTCAAACAACCCCACGGGGGGTAGCTGGCTGACGGAGGCTGCCTGCCACCTCGAGCACTGTAATATAGCACAGGGAACGACTTCAGAGGACAATGTCAGGGACACAAACAGAACTGGACCCAACACGCCCGGCTCTGATTCCATTTCTGTTCCCGCTGAGGCCCCGGACGGCTCGTGCAACACGGACCGGGGCTCTCACTCAGACGCTGACTCTCAACAAAGGGACGTAGCCTTTGCACCGGAGCACTTGGCCTCAGAGGCAGTTTGCACTAACGAGCCCCTCGCTCTGAACGGGGTGGACGTAGACGACGGGGACGACTCCAAAGCGGGCTGCAGCGAAAACGACCTCTCGCCCGACGCAGCCGAGGCGGAACATTCGGAGGAGAAGGGCTCCGGTAACGACACCGAGACGGAAACGGAGACGGAGACTTCGTTCGGCCGGCCGCTGTCGACAGACGCTCTAGAGGAGTACGGTGACATGAGCACCACGGGCTCTGTGCCCTCTCCACCACTCCAAGGGGAGCCTGCCACGCCCGCCGACCACAGCCAGCTGGCAGAGGACGACGAGGACGAGGACTTTGGGGACTTTGGAGACGCCGGCTCATTCGGCGGTCAGGGCTTCGCCGATTTCGACCAGCTGGACGTCCAGCAGGAGCAGAGCAGGTCGCACAGCTCGCCGCCTGCACAGGAAGCTACAAACACCAAGGACGAAGACGACTTTGGTGACTTTAACTCCCCCAAATTTAACAGCGGTGGAAACGAGGGGGAGGAAAGAGGCGAGTTTGCGGACTTCCCCGTCAGTGACAGTTTTGGGAATTTCAGCTCGGCCGCTGAACCCGCGGACGGTGAGGCAGACGCAGGGTGGAGCGCCTTTGGGGACCAGCAGGTGGAGGGGGAGTCGTGGGCGGCGTTCAGCACGGAGCAGAGCGTCGCTCCTCCTACAGAGAGCAGAGGGGAGGAGGGCGTGGAGGAGAAGGACGAGGAGGAGGAGGAGGAAGAGGACGAGTGGCATGAAAGTGAACCTCCTGCAATCAGCGAGGAAGACTACAGGACAGACAGACAGTCGGTAAGAACTGTGGGAAATAAAGTGGTCAGACACTTCAAGGCTGCAGAGGTGAAACCATCGTCTAACTTAAGTTTATTTATGTGGAGCTTTACAGAACCAACGTGTGAATGTTAACAGGTTAGAGCAGCCACAACGCCCACGCTTACTAGAGTCCAGCTTATTTAATGGACCTTCAGATAATCTGCTCGTTACTTCTGTCTAACCTGAACATGGTGGACGACTGCAGACAAACGCAGCAGGTCTCAGCGTATCGCGGGGATTTCCCCGGTTTATGATTTCATATAATTATTTATTAATGAACTGCTGTAGCAAAGCTCGGTTAATATCTTCTTCTATTAAGTCCTCCTCACAATAAGTGTAGTTTACAGGCAGGAATACGAGTTGTTGCTGCCCTCTGTTGGTCAGGAGTATTAATAACTGAATACATACAAGGTTCCTGACGTTTAAAAGTAACACAGAAGTTACTTTCTCCTCTACCAAATTACTTTTATATTCAGTAAGTGCTAAAGTAATCCAGTTACTTTTGACAGAAGTAAACTAATTACTATCTTTCAGTACTCATCACTGACAAATAAATACTTTTACAATAACATTTGTAAAACCAGACGAGACCCAAAAAGAGGAAGTTATTTTTAAAATCAGTTCCTGGTTGTTTGTTCATATTCAGCTGAGTCACAGCAGCTTCCACTGTTTGTATTAAACATTAACTGACCCTTTAAAGCTAACTTTACCAATAACAAAAGAACCTGAAATGAGGCGGTTCAGGTCCAACCGTCTGGGTGTGTGACACACTCTGCCCTCAGGATGAGACCTGTGCAGGTATTTAAAGTACATTCCTATCAGATGAACTCAGATTGGTGATGAGCCTCCGACTCATTCACAGCTGTAACGGTAACACAGGAACCTCCTGTTCCAGTTTAACCACCAGTGTCACAACCAGCAGGAAACTGGGTTAAAAGTGTGAAACCGTCTGAGGTGTAACGCTGACACTCAAACAGATTAAAGATCCTCTTCTCTCCGTCCACACTGAGCTGGTATTATCCTCCTCTAACAGAGATTGTCTCAAGAGTGGACCCTGTTACAGTTTGGGAGGAGTGAAAACAGCTAAAAGGTGTCGTCTCTCTGCCAACGCCACCGCTGGGTGTGGTGAGCAGTGTCGTACAAAGCATCGCAAGCTAACAGGACAGGTTCGGATTATTAGACTGGGTGCAGTTACTCTTTAAGAGCGTAAACACGCCTGTAGTTTGGTTCCTTTGAGACTCTTTTTAAAGCAGTTTCTGGTTTCACATCAGCCTGTAAGAACCGCACTAACCAGGCAGACCCTCCAGGGTTTCACCTTGAGTCCTATTCACACCTGACTGCTTTTATTAGGAACATCATGTGATCACAGGTCGTCTGTGATCTTAATCCTGTGCAAACCTGCCATAATTTATATTTATGAGTATAAAAGTCCACTTCAAATTAGCGCCATATTTGTGATATCGTAATGATTATATTGGTCCCGTGTGAATCGATATTTCTGTGTATTTTTACGTGGAGCGACAGTGGAAGAAGTGCTGCATCTAAACCTCCCACAGATCAATATCAGTGTGAGTTTCAGGCTTTTCTCCACACAGATTGGACCGTAATGAAAACGGCAGAGAGAGCAAACGCCACAGTTTGCTTGGCTTTAGTTAGCAGAGGTGCAAACACACACTGAGCTCTCCAACATCACAACATTTTTATATCTGCTGGGTGTCAGATTCTTTCCTTTTTGACTTTATTAAATACCTGCCAGCAGCACACAGCAGCAGAAACCGTGTGTGCAGCTTTATATTGAGAGAGATGTGTTTATCTACACCTGTGACAGCGGTAGCTTCATTAACACGCTGACCGGGAAAAATTTCAGTAAATTAGAGTAAAATACAGACTATTCCACGCAGAAGTGGCGCACGAAACACAGATGAGGGTAATTTGTAAATCACAAGAGGTCCCCTGGTAATACTGGTCCTTTTAAATAACATTTAAATTGTCCTCTTCTGTTGTAGTGCAGATTTTTAGTTTTTAGTCAGAGCAGCAGCACAGTGCCACGAGTTGGGAACGCTGGATGTAAAAAATACAGAAGTTAAAGCAGATACACGTCTATCTCCATCTAAAAACACAATGACCTCAACTCTCCACTCTCAGTAAAAAGCAGCTGTGAAACTATCGGCTCTTTCAGACCTTTCCGCAGGCTCGACCCGGGAATCTGGACGTTAACATCATGAATTACTGAGAGTTTGAGGCCCGATGGGAGAAAAATTCCTGGATTCACGTTTGAGCTGCAGCCTCAGTTTATTCATGAGCCTGTAACAGAGAGGTTCCTGAGTACAGATCGCTCTTTAGATGATAACAGTTAATGTCCAAAGGAGATATGAAGTTAAAAATCTCCCCGTGTGGACAATGTGAAAGTGTTTGTGCGTGAGTAATCGGCTGCCGTGCTCTCCGCAGGCGTCGCTGTCGAGCCGTCTGGAAAAGCTGTTTCAGAGCAGCTTCCCTCAGACGGCCGTCCCCTCCGTGGAGGACGAGGTGGCGTCCCTGAAGATCCTGCTGGGACCTCCAGGGGACAAACCGCAGCCAGGAGCCGAGGAGGAGGCGAGGTCGCCAGGCAACAGGTGAGTCTGAGCCTCCTCAGTGGGCCATTTAAAGAAGTGTTTCCAATCCTTTAAAAAAGGTCCAACTGACTGAGAACTGTTAAGATTTAAGTTTAGTATATTTATTTCCAGCTTTAAACGAGTCTGCTGTTCCCTGTTCGGCCTCAATGACGTGACGGCAGCTCGTACTGTGTGGTGGTCGTACAGGACTAGCAGTTTAATGAAACAGCATCAGTAACTTCCAAAGGATCCAACAGACAAACAAGTCATACTTTGGCTTTATTCTAATAATGAATATTGTTGTTATCAGAGTATATAACATAGTAAGTAATGATGCGTTCCCTCAGTAACTAGTTTAAAATGACTTTCTAGTCACAGTTGTTGAGGCAAACAGGAAGTAGCTTCAACTCGACACTGGCGGTGAGTCACACTGATCGAACTGTCAGAGAACTTCTTCGTCTGACGTTGCTGCAGGTTTCTCTCAGTAATTACAGCCGCTGTCGGTTCAGACTGCTCCACCTTTCTGTCTGTTAGGACGTCAACGAAGACTCTTCACATCGACTATCGGCTCTAATTAACGGTTTTCACTCTGTATGAACGTTGGCTGTCTTTGACTCCGCTGCGTCTCATTGGTTGTTGCAGGTCCGTGCGTGGCGGCGTGTGGATGCAGCTTCAGGACATCCACGAGGCGTTCGGCCTCAGATACCAGTGGGGCGGCTCCTACTGCAACAAAGCACTACTCTGCTGCCTGGGCATCGACACCCGAAACATTGTGAGTCCCCCGCTGGACGCTGTGTCCCCCGCTGGACGCTGTGTCCCCTGATGGCTCGCTGATTCAGCTGGAACACAGAGAAAGACATTTAAAAACCTTTTAAATTCTAATTATTTCTATTAAATAGACCCTTCTAAGTGTATTTTTAGAAGAGATTTAATGACTCATCCAGTAATCTGTGACCTTTATTAACCTCTGCTGGCAGCCGTCAGGGACGGCGACATCAAGCTTACTTCTCTTCGTAAAAATTCTTTTCTGTGTGTTTTTAACTCGGCAGCAGGATGTGTGTGAGTTTTCTAACCTGTTGCTTTAATGCCTGCAGCTGTTCACAGGACAGAAGAAGCAGCCGGTCATCGTGCCCATGTACGCCGCCAGCCTGGTGAGTCAGTCAGTGCCGCACAAACCTTCATTCAACGCTTCGTACGCGGCGAGAACAGCGCGTCTAGAAGCCAAATATTCTGAAATATAATCAACATTTATTGGATTGAGCAAAGAAATCTGCCAATTCAAGCTGATATTTTCCTAAAACTAGAAGTGTTTTTACTATTGTTTGTGCTGTAATATCTCATTAAGACAATTCATTCATTTCCTTAAAATAAGATTACTTTTCTAATACAAAAACATTATTTTAGACAGAAAATAAGACTCATTTCCCAGAAACGAGGCTTTCTCACAGTCTTGAGATTGTTAGTGTTGTTGTTAACGTGTGTCTGAAGAGTCTCTCTGTGGTTTGTAGGGGATGCTGGAACCAACCAAAGAGCCTGTGAAGCCCGTCTCTGCAGCAGAAATGATCGCCTCTATAGCCCAGGCGCCTCCGCTGGCTCCAGAGAAAAGCTCCTGTCCCTCGGACACGGTCCAGGTGGGACCTCAAAGTTAACTTCTACTGACACGTTTTAATTAGATGATTGTCTCACATCTTGTCTAAAGGCTTGTGTTACTTATTTTTCTTATTGTCGACAGAAACAATGCGTTAGTCCGTCTGTACTCGATTACTTTAGACTTCCCCGCTGGTTCCTCCTGAAGACGCAGATATGTAGTTTTATTTTTAAATGTTATTTAAAAAAAAGCTGCTCGCTGTAGTTTTTATCAACAGGAGGAAAGTGTGAGAGTGTGAGAGAGTGAACTGGTCCTGACTGATTGCTCTCTCTCCTCCAACAGGAGGCGCTCCCACCCGTCCAGTTTGACTGGAGCAGCAGTGGCCTTACCAACCCTCTGGACGGTAGGTGACCCCCACCTGCCGCCGCCCCTCTGACCCCCCCCCACCGCTGCTCGCTTTCGCCTCGTATCCGTCACACCTTCCTAACCCTCGTAGTGTTTCCTGTCTGTTGACAATTCACCAGCCACTGCCGCTGATTCACAGCCGATCAGATGTTAGGAGGAGTTGGTGGAAACGTGTCTGCAGCATGTGGCTGGTGGTATTCTCACATCCTGTCTGAGCCTGAAGACGTCACATTATTAACAGTTTGTAGGAACCTTGAAAACCGTTTTCATTAAAGGAAAAATCCACATTAAACACTGTAACACTGACGATGTTTACTGGGGCAGGAAGGCATAAAATCTAAATCCTGTCACTCTGACGTGGGAAAGTATAATTGGTGCTCAACTGATCAATCAATCGATAGTAAAATGAACAAATAACTTTCCTTTGGCTGTTGGAGAACTCTAGATGAGCAGCTTGTGGGTGTCGGTGGTTAGTGGACTCCATTTATAAGCGAACGTTAGCTAGTGTTGCGCACTGTAGGGAAGCGGAGAGAGAAGGCACTCGGGGCATAAAGGTCACAACCTTTGACCCTCATCCCTACATAGAGAGACAGAAATCAGTCCACAGGCAGCAGAGGAAGTCGGGGAACGCCTCACTTTTAAGTTACAATACCGGTAATAATCGAACATTTGGAACCCTTTTAAATTTAGGGAATGTCTAATAAATAACACAATTATGAATCTGTAGTTTGCAGTTGAAAGCCAGTCGGCGTTTTCAGCCGCTGGCGGTGGATCTTTCCTTTAACCGTGTTTATGGCGGCTCTGCATGAAGACTTGTACCATCCAAGTGTAGAAACCAAAGCAGTCTAACAGTTCTCATGTAGCTGCTCTCTGATCACTGACACCGCTGCATGTTTCTGGTTTCTTCTCTCTCTCTCTCTTTGTCTCTGTCTGTGTTTGTTAACCTCGGCCGCCCCCCCGGCTGCGCAGCGAGCGGAGGCTCGTCTCTGTTAAACCTGGATTTCTTTGGTCCTGTGGAGGATTCAGGCTCCACCAGCTCACCCTCCATCCCAGGTCAGCAGCTGCTCACGACCTCCATCCCCCCCCCTTCCTCCCCCTCTTTAACTTAACCTCCCATCCTCTGCCCCTCACCCGTAACGCTCGTCTGTGGGAGACTACAGGAACAAGTACTCGACGTACGTTCCGATCCAGAACGTTTAATGAGATGAGAATGATCCAAAGTGTTTGTTTCCTACTGCAGGAAGTCAGTGGTTCCTAATCCTTTTCCCTAAGAGACCCCGTTTCTAAGACCCCTGAGTAAGTGACGTATTCACTGCAGAGCAGCTGATAAACTACAGTTAACACCAACAGTGACTTTTCCTGATATCTTTAGAAACTTTTTATACGGTTCTCTCTTTATTATGTATTTTAAAAGGCTTTAACAACCAAACAGACTTCTTTCTAGATAAATTCAGTGTTTCAGCTCTTTGGTTGTTTTCTAATGCAGCACGAGGCTGTTTATCAGAGACTGAAGCTCTGTGAATATAACTTGTGTTCACGTCTTCAGACTTTAGATCTTAAATAATCATCCAAACGTAAAAAATAATAACAAAAATCAGACCAAAACAATGGGTGCTACTGCCCACCTAGAAGACGATCATAAAACCTCAAACTGAAACTAAATAAACCACCAGAACTGCACCTGTTAAAGTCCGTCCACTGAAAGTTGACTCGGGTTGTTATTGTCAGTGTCTGACAGCATTATGGAAAGGATCCCTACAGAGATAGACCTTTAGTTTAACCACAAACAGCCGTAATATCACTATCACTCTCCACCAGACTCCAGAGACACAAACACTCATTTTACCTTCAGATCATCAGAACTTCATTAAAGTGGACAGAAACAGAATAAACTCATTAAAAGCGTCTCTGTTAGTGTTTCCAACAATCACCAACTCTGGTTTGGTGGAAATAAATCCTTAATTCACTGACGTAGACGATAAAAACAGCAGTTTAAATATGATTTTAAATCTCCTATTTATCTGTGTTCAGTCCAGAAGAAGCAGAAATGTTCTTGATTTATTTACGAGGAACGTGAATCAGCAGCTGCAGTTCGGAGGTTCGAGGTTCTGACAGATCCGTGACCTCTTCTTGTTTCTCGTGTTCAGGCGTCGACCCCGAGCTGTACGAGCTGACGACGGCCAAGCTGGACCCCGGCAGCTCCGGCAGTCGGGTGGCGGATGCCTTCGCCCGCCTGATGTCCACCATGGAGAAGACGAGCACCTCGACCAGGTCAGCGGGTCGGAGGGCAGCACGGTAACGGTGTGTTATTTAAACGGCGTGCGCTCTGATCTTTAACGCCTGCCGTGTTTTTGTCACTTCCTTTTTTCGACAGGAAGCCGAGGAAAGAAGAGAATCTGAGCGAGGAGGCGGCCAAAGTGATCGCCGGCCTGCCGGATCTTTCCTTCATGCAGGCCAAAGTGCTGATGTTTCCCGCCACGCTGACGCCGCTCAGCTCCCAGGCCACGCCGGACTGAAGCCCCGCCCCCCTCTCCTTACACTGACATCACCCCGCCCAGTTAGCCCCGCCCACCAGACTCGGTCCATTTTATAAAGTTATCGTCTTTTTCTCTTTCGTTCTCTTGCTGCGGTTTAGTTCCTCGCTTTCACTCGTATTTCTTGTTTTTTAGTTGTTTTTTTTTAATTTGCGCTTCAGTTTTCCAACTTTTTTAAAAATAAAAGTATTTCTGACAACGGGAAACGGCGAGGAGGAGGAGGAGGAGGAGGACGAAGAGGGAGCACCTTTAACAGGATAGGAGATCATTAATTTATAGAGCTGATAATTTATAGAGGAAGGTTTAGAAGTGTGTTCATATCTAGAAGAATCACCGTGTATATAATCAGGGATTAAATGTTTATTTTCCTTTTTTATTTTTATTTGTTTTGTTTGTTTTTAATTCTGAATGATTTCCGGAGGATGATTTTACGTCTCTGTGGTGGGAGTGTGTCCGTGTCTGTCTGTGAAGGAAAACACTGGCTGAAGAATTAAACTGAAGTGGAATATATGTACGACGAGTTTAAATTAATACATTTATATACATATATTATAAAATCTCTATAAATATATATAAATATATATTTATCGACTTGAAACCACACTGCCTGCAAAATCCAGCTGAATGTTTCGTCCCCCTGTTGTGTTTAAAGGCCTTAGTTTTTACCTGCAGTCTGTAGATTTTAACCCGCCAAGTCTTTTTCTTTTTGTAATTTAATGTCGCTTTTTATTATAAATGATGTCCAACCCCCCCCCGTGCCCCCCCCCACACACACAGAGTCCATCCACAGTCTCTACAGCGCAGGGTGACTGTTTTATGCTTCAGTTTGAGGAACTACTGGACAATCCGAGTTCTCACTTTTATTTTTATTCCAGATGTATTCCATGAGATTCTCTCTCTGTGTCTCTGTCTCTCTCTCTCTCTCTCTCTCTGTCTCTGTCTCTCTCTCTCTCTCTCTCTGTGTCTCTCTCTCTCTCTGTCTCTGTCTCTGTGTTTGTTTTCGGTTTTTCTTTGGGGGTACAAATGGGACTTTTTTTGGGGGTTAAAACCACTTAAAAGTTTCTCGGCAGTGAAGGTCGACTCACATCAGAAGGGAATTAAGGGACCAATTTCTGCTTCCACGTGTCGGGTTATGAACACTGATCCTAATATGAAGTGCTTTTTTTTTTTTTTTTTTTTTTTTGCAGCTCTTATTTGTTTGTTTGTTGTTTTTTGCTCATACTACTGTCAGCCCCGTCTCCCAGGAGGATTTTGCACATTGTAAAGATGAAATGGATGTAATCATAGTTCACTGTGGCTTTAGACTGTGTACAGTTAAACTATGGACTGTAAAATGTACGGGAAAATTCCTATGGAAAAAAACTGAATCACTTGAAGAGCCTGTCAAAAGGTTATTGTGCATGCCCAGGTTCTTTTGAGACTATAAGTGTGTAAATTTTACTTTTAGTGTACACAAGAAATTAAAATAGTTATCTTCTCTGCTTGTTTCTGTTTCTTTCAGACACAAAGTTTAATGAAATATAATATTCATAGGTTTGTTTCCTTTTAGTGTTTAATCACCTGGAAATAAGACTTGTTGTGTTTTTGTTACTTTAGAATGAGACGGGTCCTCTTCTGATGGACACAAACCAAACACTGGGCAGTTGATCACAGCTAGTGATGGCGATACTTTACAGACATCTTTGTTTAGGATTCAAGTTTTTAAAAATGTATTAATGATTAAAAAAAAGTTTTATTATTAAATATGATTTTCACAGGTCTAAAAAAATGTAAGTTTAACTTATTAAAAGTTATGAGAAACATTCTCAAAATATTGATTTAGTATCACAGTCATTATTTTAATAAAGTTTCTTATAATTTTAATATTTTTTTATTTTTATAATTATATTGGCAGAAATGAGCTTCCATACAAACTTACAGAAACGTAATAATTCAGACACTCTCCAGCCTCCGTACATACAGAGTGAAGATAAGATAACTAATTAAGATAATTAACTCAAGATCTCAGTTTAAAAACGTATTGTGTTTCAGTTTTCCGCTTCTGTAAGAAATGAAGATAAGAAATAAACGACAAAGACGAAGATTAGATCATTTTCATTTAATGTAGAAAATAAAATTACTAAAGCGGGACCCCCCCCCCCATCAGAGCTGAATCCTCTTCAAACATTCAAATATAATCTAAAGAATATTGCATCAGACAAGGCACAGAGTCAGAGAAACACAACTTCATCCTTCTGCTGACGTCCAATAAAAGAAAGAAACAACATTTGGTTTGATGATGAAAAGTGTAAAAAAATCTTTCATTCATTTGTTCGTTCTCTGAAAAACATCAAAGAGCAGGAGCCAGTAAAAATAACTGCACTGAATTAAATCTAAAAATGTGTTTGAATGCCGTTGAAGTTGGATTAATGTTTAATTGATGTTTGTATTTGATCAGTTTATAAACGTCACTGTGTCCCACTGCTGCACTACACACTGATCTACAGCACAAATGTGACAGAATTAAATAAACTTTATGATTTTTAACTCAAAGCTGTAACAAAAAAAGTAATTAAATTGTAAAAGAAAGCACCAGGGAGATATTGGAAGACAAAAAAAAAAAAGTATTTCATCTTATAAATTATGTTTTTCTGTCACTTTGTGAAGTTCAATTGTAAAGTTGCAATTTGTGTATAAAACTGTAAAGTATGAAGATTTGTACCAAACTACTAGAAAGACACACGTATATATAAAAATAGACTTTATAAAGACATACTGAGTACAGTTAGTGTGTAATGGGGACTTTGGGACAACCTGCTGTTGCATCTTCTGACCAGCAGGTGGAGACACAGGAGAGCATGCAGGTCTGGATTCAGCTATCAGGACATAACTGATCAATCTGATCAATATACAATAACTCCAAGACCTTCAATGAACGAGATATACAGGGAGGCATCAGTCAGCAACAAGCCTGGTTCAAATAAACAAACAAACAAACAAACAAAGTAAAAACAAAGATTTATACTGGCTGTTTATCCTCACACACACACACACACACACACTCTAGAGCTGTAGGCAGAGGTCGAATTGGTGGCGTTTGCATCGCTGAAATCCTAAAATATATATTACACTGTATTTAAAAAAAAGACTTTTCCACCAAAAAAAATGTCCTCTGAGTTTAACGTTTACAACATTTCGTCTGTTCAGCTCAGGCGTCGAGTTTTTTGGTGGATTTATCCTTTAAAAGAAAACATTTCACGATCTGTACAAACCTCAATATTAGTGTCCAGAGTTACAATAAATACACACTAGAGCTGAGAGATAATAAATAATTCATAGCGTCGCAGTCGTACCTCCATTATGGCAATTTAACCTCGTTAAAACTGAGCCGGTTCTTACTCCGGCTCGCACTTCAGCTCTTTAAACTTTTAATTTTAGTAGGAAATAATTTCATTGGTTGAGTTAAAACGGAGATAAAAGTGAGTGCGACAGGTTTTAGGTAAATATAATTACGATAAGTTAATAATAATACGATGAGGCTTCAGGACAATAGAGCTTGTAAAACTACTAATTACTGTTTTTAATCTACTGTTCATGTAATTAAACTTAAACTAATAAATTAACTTTCTACAGAGTCAGTTTTAACCCTGCTTCCAGGCTTTATGCTAAGCTAGGCTAACCACAGTAAATTAAAAGTATATTTACTTATAAATATAATTAAAAACTATTCCTTAAAAACTTCCTTTAGCTGGAAGAAATAAAGTGTCCGTATTAAAATACAAAGATTAGCTCGTAATTAAAGGTTAGCTCGCTACGTGGCTTCAGTTTATTCTACGAATATTTAAATTAATTGTTTAAATAAATTGTTTTATTTTCCCCAAAATACGAGCTAGCACAGAGGCTAACGAATGCCTAGCCTGTAAAACTAATAATAAACAAGTTCTGCTAGTTAGCTTTGACTTTGTTGGCTACTAGCTAAAACATACGTACGTTATTATTTTCCACTTATTGAACTAGAAGTAAATATTTTAGTTATATAATAATTAATAACAGCCACACTAGGCTAGTTACCTAAAACGCCATAAACATTAATCAATAAAGTTATATTTTTATTAATATTAATTTATTTGAGCTCATTTGATTCCCAGTTAGCCAACGTGCTAACTTCCGTGTCGAGGTTTAACTCAACCAATGAGATTTTTCTCCGTTACCTAGCAACAGTGACACATTGTACCAACCGACCAATCAGTGCGGTCCGAAGTGCGACAGGAAATCGTTAAGCGACAAACAAGCTAAAAAAACGTCCGCTGCGAGAAAACAGCTGAAATAAGTCCGAAAAAAAAAAAAACATTTAAAGATCAAATTAAAAGAAAACAACAAAAACATTTAAACATTCACACACATCCTGTTTCTCTTTAAAAAGACTTTCACATTAGTAAAACTCCGATGTCGATGAATTTTTAGGTAATTAAGCTGCGATGTGGAATGAAACTCGCGTTCAGCGGCGCGATGGCGGTTCGGAAAGGCACTGAATCGGGTTTTTTTTGTTTTGTTTTGTTTTTTCTCGTAAACGCTATCGACGTAAAAACACGATCCGACGTTAGAAAAGTTTCTTACAATTCTCGGGACGCTACTTCACGCTGTTTGTATTTTATTTAAACGCTAGCGAGGATGAGCCGATCTTTGTAGATTTATTTGTTTCCGTGGCACAAAAAAAGGGCCAATAAATAACAACAATAAAAACATCGGTTCATCTCCGTTTGTTAGCTAATAAAAAAATAACGTGACCTCTGTCATCTGAAGTTAGCTAATGTTAGCGTAATGTGTTCGTGTTTTAGCCTAGCACGTAGCACGTAGCACGTCCAAGTACAGGAAGTTGACCGAGGTTTGCTCAACTGTGATTGGAGCACAGAGCGAGAAGGGGCGGGGCTTAGGAAGGGTGGCTGTGGGTCTGTGGTCCTATAAAAGGAATGTAAGTGGTTAGCTTAGCTTTAGCCAAACACTGACGTTGTGTGACGATGAGCCATCGACCAGTAGCTGGATGCTAACGGGCGGCGGGTCGGCTCGGGAATCGAACCCGCGTGACGTCCTCCGACTTTAAAACTGTACAAAAACAAACGCTATAAAAAGCGAGCGAGCGTCTCTCAGCTGCCCACCAGCACCTCCATGATGTGGTCCAGCTCCGCCAGGTCCATCTTAAAGGGCTGGTTCTGAGCGCCGCCGCCCGCCGGGCCGTACCCGGACATCGACCGCACGAGGTCGTCGGCCATCACGACCGGGGCCGTCTTGGATGGCGGCGCTCCCGACGGGGCCGGGCAGGGGCCGAGGTCGTACATGGAGGTGTCGATGTCTGTGAAGAGGACGTCGTCCAGCGTAAAGTCAGTCAGGAAGGAGCCCGATGAAGACGACGACGGAGGAGGAGGAGGAGGAGGAGGTTTCTCCAACCTGCTCGCCACCTCCTGGAAGCCCCGCCCCTCCTCCTTCACAACGACATCAAACAGAACCCGAGCAGGAGGAGGTGGCGGCGGGCTGGAGGAGGAAGACGAAGAGGAAGGACAGAGTTCTTCGATCTCCTCTAGCGCCGAGGAGAAGCTGTCTTTGGGTGACGGCGAGGGCGAGGGCGGCGGTGGTGGCGGCCTCGGGGAGTGGTGCAGGTGGTGGGTGGAGGAGGAAGAGGAGGAGGAGGAGGAGGAGGGCGGCAGGGTGAAGAACATGGGAAGGTCCTCCTCCAGCAGCGAGGCGGGAGTCAGGCAGGAGTCGAGTGCCGTCGTCAGTCCCGACAGCGGCGAGGACAGGATGCTGAAGGAGGAGGGGAGGAGGCGGAGGTTGTCGGTAGCTCTCGTCCTCGTGGGCGCCGCCGCCGCCGTCGACAGGCGGCGCAGCAGAGAAGAAGAGAGCGCCGACGCCTCCTTCCTGCCTGAAGTCGTCGTGGATGCGGCGGATGATGTTGTTGATGAGGACTCGGCGCTGCAGGCCGAGGTCGGCGCCCATCCGCGGCCCGTACAGCTTCATGAGGGACATGTTGAGGACCGTCTGGCGCTGCAGCGTGTAGGACGCCTGCGACATCCCGCCGACCGCCAGAGGGCGCCGGTCTTCCTCCAAACCGTCATCATCCTCACCCAGTTTCCGCTTCACGCCGTTACCCGACATAAATCTGTGGAGACAGAAACAGTTCAGAGAACGACGGCGGGAAGATTTCAGCTGAATGGACAAAACTTCAGGGACGATTAAAAAAAGGCAGATTTTTATATAATCTTTGTAATTTTTTTACCAAAATAAAGAAATAACTTCACGAATAACGTCTGCAGAATTTACAAAAAGAACCAAATAAATAAGAATTTATCGTAGAAAATGTTTCATAAAGTTTATAAAGTTGTTTCTCTCTCAGCAGATCTCTAAACGTGTGATTTTTTAAAGGGAGTCTGGTGATGTAACAACCAGTGTGTTCACAACCGACACATCGGTCGCTGTTATCAGCTGTTATCGGACAGACGATATTG